ATTCCCTGTTCCCACCACCTCGGGGCAGGCTCCACTCTCCCTCCCAGCTGACTGCAACAACAAGCCAGTTTTCCATCTGCAGTACAGTCCTTACACCTCTCCTAGACAAAGTAGATCTTTTTCGTTCCTCCCATCTTACCAGCTCTGTGCTCTTCATTACCACAGAATAAAATTCAACTCCTTGGCATGCAAGACGCCTTACAGTTTGTTGTTGCTTGTGGAGGAAAGGAGTGCGGAGGGGCAGGGGAACAATAAACTTCTGAGTGCTTTTGGCCTCTGAGGTTCTTGTTTTCCACCTGAGGGATGCTATGGAGCAGCAGGGAGTTCCTGAACCGGGCTCTCAGGGGTCTGAGTTTTAGGCACACACCTGCTGGCTTGAAAAATAAAGGCCAGCCCAAATCACCTGGCCTGCCACTGCCCAGTTTTCCCAGTCTCCCCAGCTTCCTTTGGCTCAAACTCCCCACCCCTGTGCTCCCCTAAGCAAGCTCAGTAAACTTCAGGGAAGGCCTTACTGGGGCTGCCACCACCGCCAGCCAGGGATGTCCCAGGGCCAGCCAGGGACGGGGAAGACTCGGGCTGCAAACTATAGGCTGGGTCAGGGAAGCGTAGTCTCACCAGCAGGTTGACTTTGAAATTTTTTATTTCGAAATAATTATAAAGTTACAGGAAGTGGTTAAAGAAAGTTTACATGGAGGTCCCTTGCACACCTTACCCTTCCTCCGCCAATTTACCACCCTGCGTCGTGTACGATCTCAGGACCATGAAATTGACATTAGTGCATCACCGGTTATATACACAGTCATTCTCATGTGCCTGTGTGTACATTTCTAGACAATTGTATCACAGGCATGGCTCTTTGTGGCCACCACCACAATCATGATGCAGAACTGTCCCCTCTTCTCCTCCCCGCAATCTAGCCCCTGGCGAAGACTAGCCTGTCTTTCATCCCTTCTATTTTCAAGAATGCTACATAAATGGGGTCACACAGTTCATGACCTTCTGAGTTCGCTTTCATACTCACCACACTTTTTCCGGAGGGTCATCCATGTTCTTGTGTCTCTAGTTGACTTTTGGTGGCCTTGTCTAATCCTACACGGGACTCGCCAGCAGCTACAATTAGTACTGCACCTGTAACGATGGCTTGTTTTCCCAATCTTTTTCTACGTGTTCAATAAACATTGAATTCCCATTATATGCCCAAAAGGCACTGAGGATAAAGAGATGAATTAGGTATATTTCTGACTCTGATCACCTTAACATCTGGAGGAAGAATCTCACAGCTCATTAAGCCTACAAATTGGTTGCTAGACAAAATGGAAAACTGTGATACTTCTGCATTTTCTATAGAAAGGCCCAAATATGTGATCTGCTCAGGGTCTTCATGCTGGGTGATGGTTAAGGAAGGTAACCAGCGAACTGTCTGGGAGTGTTTTTACAAACACTTGAGGAAACTAGTGCCCACATTAAAGCCGGGGAAGGGGAGAACCAAACCAAACCAAAGCGGAATAGAACCGTGCTGGAAATAAACCACCGGCCCCCCTTTTCCAAAGCAGGGTGGCGTGAAATCCGCTTGCCCCTCTGTGGGCTCCAGAGAACTGACAGCTCCTTGGACTGTGCTGGGCGCTTACGGTGGTTCATAGTTCACGCTGCTTTCTGTGTGTGCTGACAGGAGGGGAGTGTTCCAGCTCTCCCACCAGACCCGGATGCTCTGGCCTGTGGACCAGAAAACTGGGGCAAGGGAGAAACATAGCCAGAGAGAAAAATGAAAGGACTAGGTGCCTATGTAGCATTATCCTCATTTACCAATGAATGAAAGAAACTGAATTAGGCCTAGAGCCCGTGGAAGCTCTTGGGGCCCTGCTAGTTGTGATGAATTTAGCTTCATTCTGAGTAAGGAAGGAACATTCTGGCCCTGTCTGGTGTGGCTCCGTTGGTTGAGTGTTGTTCCACAGTTCGCCTCCCGGTAGAGCACGTGCCTGGGTTGCAGGGGCATTCTGGCTTGGGGCATGTGTGAGAGGTAACCAATCGACGTATCTCTCACACATCGGTGTTTCTCTCCCTCCTTCTCCTGCCACTCCTCTCTCTCTAAAAACTAAGTAATAATCTAACAAAAAGAAAAAGAAGAACATTCTGTCTATCCTGGTTCATTCTTTCCCTTCTCCTTCACTATTTGTCACAGCTCATCAGGCATCTGAGATTTGATTTTTGGTTGGAAAGACTTGTCCATTGGGTCTCCCACTCTACTACTCTCTGGCCTCTTTGAATCCCTCTTCTCTTCCAGTGCGTGTTACTAATTGGGAGTTGTTGAGGTGGGAACACAGGGACCCACTCTGTTCTGATCTCTTTGTCATAGTGCTGTGGCAGTCAACCTTCCCTGTCCACATTTACCTGGAGAGCATTCATTCATGCAGTGTTTGGTTGATCATAATTCCCAGGAATAACAAATCTTTCTGAGTGCTGAAAGGAGAACAGATTTTGAGTGGAAAGAATGTATATGGAAATGCACAGATAAAGCAAAGAGGAGGGGCAATGGGAAATTTACTGTGAAGCTAATGAAGCTTAAGCGTCTGGGCCCTTTCTAAGATCCTGGGAGAAACCTTAGTGTTTACGTTCTCTTATGTTTTCGTCAAGTTGGCAAAAGGGAAATGTAATCCTGCCATTTTCCTGGAAGAGAAGTAGCCCAAACATACTTGGGAGTCAGCAGTAATTGGCTACTAGTCATGATCTTAAATGTTTTAGTGGTACTTGGAAGAGACGTGTCTTATAACGTCAGCCTGCCACCTGTGTAGGTTTGAGCACGCCACTTAATCTCTCCACAGTTATCTTTGTTCATCTATAAAATTAGGTTAATGATATTGACTAATATTTGAGAGTGCTTTATGTACTCTGGTCTGAGCCCTTTATATGTATTCTTTCACTTGATTCATCCACTATTCCATGAGGCAGAAAATTTATCTCCAACTTATATATGAGGAAAACAGCCAAAGAGAGTTTAAATGGCTTTGCTTCAAAGTCACCAAGTGGCAAAGCTAGTGATCAAATGTGAATATGGGAATCTGGATCCAGAGCCCAGCCTTCACCCAGCAGCAGCTATGGTAGTTGCTCTTTTCAGTAGGGTTGTTGCTCAATGCAATTCCTGTCAACATAAGAAATATCTCTTGAGTGCTTCTTCGGGCAAGGACTTCCTGGTGAAAATCAAGAGATGTACAGGATAACATACAGGAAAGTGCTTGGGAGAAGTCCTAGCAATTTTAAAATGAAAGAACCACCAGATAAGCACTAAAGCAAGTAAGTAAACAAGGTAGTCTTAACTTACCAAGTTTGTAAAGAACGAAGGATAAATTTTTACAGGTAACCTAAACATTCTTCTGTTTAAATATACATATAATTAGAGCAGAGATTTCCCCTTTAACTGTGTTAGTATTGTGATGGAAGTGACTCTGAAGAGATACTGCAGAGTTCAGACAACTTGGAAATGCAGCTCTAACTGAAGTTGTCCTGTTCTGATCACTGAGACTGCCTGTGCCCCAGAGCATTCTCGCGTGCCTTCGTGTGCTGGCACAGGCTGAAATTGTTCTCCTAGTTACAAGCCACCTCAGTCCATCAGACCCAGACAAGTAGTATTTGGTCACCTGCACACATTGCACACCTAATATAGAACCCAGCACAGATGTTTTCCTGAACACGTCTGCTCTGCTTCTTTGGTTACATTTTTGGAACAGCCAAGTGAACAATGATAGTTTAGCTTCAAGTTCACTATGTCCTTGATGCAGGGGTCAAATCCCTTGCCAGGCTGCTGGGAAGCTGAACTCTGAACAGTAACTGAGGGGGATAGTGCAGAATGCATTTCTAACAACTGGTATTTATTTCATCAACTACTTATGAGGGGCATACATTGTAGGACACCGTTGACACCTGTTTTTGCTTCGGGTCAGAACAGGAGCCGGTCAGCCCTGGAGTGCCAGGAAGCAGCCCGCTTATCAGGCAGGCCTTCAGGTTCCACGGTGGGCATCCTAAGCACAGGTCTATTTTTGCTCACATCTGCTCTTTCCTTTTACGTTCCAAGTTTAGCTTCAAATTGCCTCATACCTTGACTACTTCAAGAACCTATGGCCTGGGCATGCCTTTCCCCACACACATTCATCCCGCATATACATTCCAGGAACTTCTTATGAACAGATTAATTTCATCATATCCTCCTCATTAAAAACTTCCTGTGGCTCCCACTGGGGACAAATAAAACCCAAACCTTGGTTTTCGTAACTTCTCCTTCCAGATTCTACTGACATTCTCTTTCCCGTGCCAAATCCAAGGCACAAAATAAAAAAAGTGTCAACAACTTCCACACAAATTCTTCACTTTTTCTGACCCTGGTTCCTTCCTGCCTGAAACCCACTTTCTTGGTTCTCTTTTCATAAAATCTTAATTTGAATTCCCATCATCTCCAGGAATCTCTTCACTTTTCCCAGCTCACTCACTCTCTTCTGCAGAGCTCTCATTTCCTTGTACTCAACTACTAAATGAGGCCTTTAAAGGCAGAATATTAAACTTCGCAGTATACGCACACCCTGTCCCTGGGCAGTGCCAAGCACAGATCCTCTCAGAAGATAGGCATTTGAGAAAGAAAATACTTGTCATAGCTAAAGATGTACATTTTGGTCTCACTAAAGACTGACTTGTAATTAACAAGTTTCTTGGATTTTCTTTTTTCTATAGGTATGAAGGGATAGAGTGATGTAGTGATCATTTGTAACAGGGTTCTCTGAAAAGTCTCCATTTTAAAATATTATTTTAAGTCTACTTTCACAAATCATAAACAATGCTTAGTTTGCAAAGCTATTTGTAATTTAAGGGGCTTAAATTTTTTAAAAAGCCAATTAGGTCAAGGAGAGATTTTTTTTATTATTATTCCAAAAGCTACTTAAATGTTTAATTAAATATGATAAAAAATTTTACAATAGTGGTAAAGGCTTAGTCAGAGAAATAATGTAAAAACCAAATTCAGCAGAATTCAAGATGGTACAGAAAGGGGTAGGCTTTATTTATCAATGCAGTAATTTAAAAAGAGGAGCAATTTCAAAGAAGAAAACAGAAACACCAATAGGAAAAAATATACTCAAAGTACTTATTAGAAAGTGTTATAGAAACTTTGAATACCGTTCCTAGACCACATGCTTCTAAAAAAGAAAGCAACAACAAATATTCGAAGTTCCAAATGACCTTCGTCCTTGACATTCAGGTGGTCCAGACATCCACATACACGCTAAATCACAGCTTAGGGACAAAGTTTTCCTAATATTCGTTTTATCATGATTGACTTTCAGAGGTGTGCTATAAAGGAGGTGCACCCACAGAGCCCTTTTGCCCCTTTAGCTGAGGTGCACAGGACAGAAAAAGATAGGAGTCCATTTTTACTACATTTTCCTTTCCCATGTCTTTGCTTTATAAATAGGAAAAACCCTCCCAGGAAGTACCCAAATCCTTGGAAGAGGAGCCTGTGAACCAGACAAATCAAGATACTGTGGATTCCAGAGAGGCCTGTGATCTGGTGATGTGTCTTCACTGGTTGCCTGTGTGCACCAGGAAAACAAGAGAGTGTGTCCTTTTGTATCTCCCCCAAACAAGGTGGCTCCTCCAGCTCTCTGAAGACGCTGCACCGGCCCTAGAGCTCACAGCGCTGCCAACACCCGGTGAAGGGTCGGCCTGCAAGAGCTCAGGCCTTCAGTCTCATCCATGACTCGTCTGCAGCAGAACCATCCACAAGGATCGACTTGATACGAAGTCAAGGTGCACGTTAAACAGCACGCGAGAACACCGAGTCTGGGTGCTACCCCTGAAGCAGGCTTCGCGAGATCAGCATCCTCATCACCTCATTGCTGCCTGTACGGGGGAGCAGGAAGGAAGGAATCAGTAGCAGCAAAGGCTGAGGCCTCGGCAAGGCTCTGACCAGGGTGCTCCAAGCCCAGCCCAACGTGGTCATGGATGTGAATGACAGTTGCCGCCTTTATTGCTGCGAGGGACCACATTACCACAGACTTCTCTCCGAACTACAGAAAAGTGTCAGAAAGTGAGAAATAAATTTACTTTAAAAAAACCTCACCTGATGGTAAAAATCCTTTTATTAAGTCAAAGAAGAATAAATGGTGTAAACATAGTATAGTTCTACTTTAAAAAAAATGAATCTGTAAAAGCACAGAAAAAACCAAAGGAGATATTTTTGGACTTAAATATAAAAGGAGTCAAACATTCATTCTAGATGTGGAAACGTGATTTTTTTTTCCTTTTCCTATATTTTATAAGTTTTCAACAATAAATACACCAATTTCTTTGGTAATCAGAACACTCTATTTTAAAAGAACAAACCTTCCCCCAAAAGGGGGTCAAATGCTTGCTTCATTTTTACAGTGGCCTTTAATGCAGAGAAATATGAACCCCCATGAGGGATAAATAACCACACATCTCAAAAAAAAAAAATCTAATCTAAATATTCAGATTTATCAAGTAACAAAGTCCATGATACAAGAAAGTGATAAAGATCAATGCCCAAATTTTTCTAGGAGTGGAAGATGGTGTGGCCTGAAATAAATGTCTCTGCCTTTTCCCATTTATTCTAACAGGGTTAAAAGACAGGGTTATGATGGAGGTAAAGTCTTCTATACTCATAATACTGGGTGAAAAAATAACTGTAGGAGCAGAAGAGGAAAAAGACTAATTTAGCCTATTTTGTGTGTTTAATGCGCACCTACATTTTTGGCCCAAACTTTCAGGAAAAAAACCCTTTCACTGTAATTTTTTAATTCAATTTTTAATTTATTTATATTTAGATACTTGTATTGACGGGTATTGTTTTGCCTATGGATATCGTTATTGCTTTCTCAAGTTACATTTTCAACGCATAAACATAAATAAAAGAATTAAAAACATTTATATAGCTACAGAATTCGTACTACCCATGAATAATGCACATCCTCATTTTCCCCTCAAATATTTGGGCAAAAAAAGTGCGTATTATACACGGCAAACTATGGTAATTGGAGCACTGGCGATTGGACCGGTAAACATCCGTCGGGGGCGGGGCTTTAGGGGGAGGCGTCTAGCAGGAAGCAGAAGCTTTCAGACGCCCGCCCGTGATTTGAACGTCGCGCCAGGGCAGTGGCACTCCAGAGTGCGGCTCTCAGACCAGCGGCAGCAGTCTCACTTGCACACTCCTTACAGATGCAAATTCTCAGGCCACCCAAGACCGGCTGAGTCAGAACCTCTGGGGGCGAGGCCCAGCAATCTGTCTTCACAAGCCCTCCTGGTGCTTCGCCTGTGCTCAGGTTTGAGAAGCGTGCTTTGCAAGCGTCCAGGAAGCCAATGCTCGGAGGCTTCCACTGTGCCCTGTGACAGTACCCACGCTATTTCACTGAAAGTCACTTAGACAAGCCTTTGCCACATCTGCTCTTCCTTCAGTGTCGCAGCCCCAGCTACCTACACTAGCTGAAACACAGGGATCTAATTTCAAGACAGACGCACGGGTGTGGAGAGCGGAGCAGGCCGCGCTCTGAGCACGACTCCAATAGCTTGCACGTTGCTCCTCCCGGGCGTCTGTGATTACCGAGAAGATACCCACATACTAGGATTAATTTTAATGAGCAATCCAGTAGCAAAATTGATGAGACATTTTTTAGACTATCGGACCGATAGCCAATTTGTAAAGGCAGTGGTGACCAAATTGGCTCACTTTTGTTCTGTGAATTACTGTACAGAAGTTTTGGGATTCCTGGGGACCAAGTACTCACTTCATAACAGTAAAGAACAGTCACTGCTGGAGTCTTCAAAATGTTTTTTTCATGCACTGGCTGGTGTGGCTCAGTGGCTTGAGTGCCAGCCTGAGAACCAACGGGTCACTGGTCTGATTCCCAGTCAGGGCACATGCCTGGGTTGCGGGCCAGGTCCCTAGTGCATGAGAGGGAACCACACACTGATGTTTCTCTCCCTTTCTTCCTTCCTCCTTTCCTCTCTAAAAATAAGTAAAATCTTTTTTAAAAGTGTTTTTTCATGTATTATCTCAGTTTCCACCTTCTCTAAAATTTACAAAGACGATGAGACAGGAAGTGATTCAAAGACCTACCCATGAGACCAACCAGAGCCTCCCGGCTCTTTGCACGGCACCAACAGGCCCTTCCAGAGCCGGGTCAGGGGAGGGAGGAAGGAGGCAGGACCCCCACAACAGACAGGGCCTGGTGGAACGCTGAGACCAGCTGCGAGGCTGGGGATGCTAGAACCATTCCGAAAGGAAGAGAATAACCTCTGGAACTGTTTACCTTCCAGGATTTGGTGGACCCTGGAGTCCCGCATATACTGCTGAACAGCATAGTCCTTCAGGTAGCCATAGCCTCCATGCATCTGTAAGGCCTGGTTGCAGATCTGCAGGGAGACAGGGATTAGGCATCTTGAGTTTCGGGAACATTAGAACAAGTGGCTTGTGCCTCCACCCCTGCCCCCAAACTGGCAGCCTGCTCTGAACTAATATGAGAAAGAACAACCTACAGATAACCAGCCTAGCTAAAAAGAGACTCCATGTTCTCTGTGGTCAAAGGCAACAAGAGAAGTTCACTGACTGATCTAGTCAGTTCCCACCAGACAGGCAAAGCAGAGACCCCCATCTCTCTGGCTTTCAGGGAGGAGCCACCTGCAACCACCACGGCTCGGATTCTAGGAAGCTCAGGTGCATTGGAAGCAGCGCAGCCTCCACGTGGAAATGGCTTTGTCCCTAACACTGTAAACGCAGCACGTCTGAACAAGAGGTACTGCGCTACTACTCTGAGCTGTCTTCCAAAGGCAGATCTCATCTAGACCAAAACCAAACGACAATGACAGAATGAGGTGTGTAATGGCATTGTGACAGGTAAAAAGCCAGCTATGAGCACTCCCTTGCAGGACAGTGAACTTATATCCTTAAGCCCAAGGCAATCCCTAAAGCATCCCAGGGGTTGACTTGAGCCTTTCAACATCCTTTGACCCAGCAGGGCTCCCTGTTTGCCCGGGAGCGCCAGAGAGCATCACTTACGGCAAAACATTCATCCGTAGCGAAGAGCTTGGCCATGGAGCACAGGGCCACCGCATCTTCCCGCTCCTCCTGCAGGGCCACTGCGGCACTGCGGATCATCAGCCGTGAGGCCACCAGCCTGGTTGCCATGTCAGCCAGTTTGAACTGCAGGTACTACGGCAACAGGGAGAAGAGAGCTGACGAGACAGGTCTGGAGCAGCACCTGATCTGGGGCCCTCTGGAGGACATCTCTAAGGAAGGGCCTTCCCTAAGTGACTCGAAGCCTCAAAGCTTCCTGCCTCTTCTACAGAGAAAACGTACTGCCTACAAGTTCTAAGTCCAGTTCGCTTGCCCTGCACTTACATTACTACCTCTGGGAAAAATTATTGCTATACAAAGAGCACCAGTTCTGGCTCGGATCGGGGCAGAATTCCACGCTCCTGGAGAATGTGGGCCACAGAGCAGGTCTCCTGCAAAGACCAGGAAGCAAAGGCAGAGACACCTGGGCAGTTACCTGGTTACTCGCCAGAGGCTCTCCAAACTGCTTCCGAACTTTGAGGTGGTCTTGGGTGAGGATGACGGAAGCATGCGCAGCCCCGAGAGAGCAAGAAGCTGGAAAGGAAGGGCGCCAGGACTTCAACTGAGCGGAAAGGGCAGTCCTGCCTGCCCCGCCGGCTGCCTCCCGGCCCTCCCCTTCCTGTTCTCACCGACGTTGATTCTCCCTCCGTTCAGTCCCTTCATGGCAATAAGGAATCCCTGCCCCTCATTCCCAATTCTGTTGGCCACAGGGACAGCACAGTCTTCAAAGATCACGGCTCTGGTTGGCTGAGAGTTCCACCCCACCTGGCAAAAAGCAGGGAGTGCACGGCTACCCGGCTGTTCGCATCCGGGGCAGTGTTCCACAGAAGCCTGGGAAACACCGGTTCTATCCCCCTGAGGTCAGACCCTTGAGAACTTAAAATGAGGAAAAATTAAAGTTCAGACTTAAATATTTGATAGATATTTTTCAGCAAACCATTTTTAACATATTAAAAGCATCTATTTTCTAATGTCCACTCTGCCAGATTAATCCACTCACAGGTGTGTCTCACAATTTCTTTTAGGGTGCCTCTATGTGTGTACAATGCTTTATTTTTAGAAAACATAGATAAGAATTATTTGGATTATTTGTCCTTATATAAGGACATTAGCATTATTAGCAATAGCCACACTTCCCCTTTCACAAGCTTAGGGCTCTTCTGGGGTATTATAAATAAGCTGCACTGTGTTGGCAACACCTAGTTCAGCATTAGCTGCAGAGATGCAGTGACGTGCCAGCACCAGCTCCCAAGAGACAAGCATATCTTTTCCTAGCTTGGCTTTCGGTGACATTGGTGGCCTGACATCGGCCATGGTGGGAGCGTTACACCACAAAAACTGGCAAACCAGGAGGGTTGGCGGGGGGGTTGGTTTTCCCAAATAGCTGATTTACCAGAACATCCTTGAATGTGTCAGTCACAAGCCCCAGAGAGAATTCTGAATACCTAAGACATAGTCCATTATCATGCAACCAGCTAGCTGTATTCTTCATCGTTCGCACAATCACTGGGCATTTTTGTGGTCTCGGTTTTCCCTTATATAAAGGAGTTGCATTAGAAATCCAGCAGAGCTACTTCAAATAAAATCTTATTCCGATGTTTCATATAAATAGAGTAAGGCTCTCACTACCTGACTCTTTATCTCCTCCTCCAGGTACTCCCCAAAGCTTCCAAGAACTCTGAGGTTTGGTGATGGAGATTTTAAAACGACACTATATAAAATCTCCCAGTTCCCTTGGAACTCTCAAAAACGCTATTGCCTTCACATCACTACCACTTCCTTGTAGAAAAACATTCAATAGCTCCCTTTTGTCAGAAAGATAAACTTTATGCCTCGGCCCTTGAGTTAAGGTCTTCTAAAATGTAGCCCGACCCTTCCTTCCCAGTCTTCTCTAGTCTAGAGGCCCCCTGTAAGTGTTCTCCACCCCAGGCAGGCTGGTTTACACACTGTGCTACTGGGTTTTTAAATCCATACTTTGCTTATTCTGCTCCCTCTGCTGGAAATACAGCCTAGTCCCAACCTCTGTCAGTCTAGTTAAATGAAGCCTCTTGAGGGATCCCCAGTCACTTGAGCCAGCAGCAATCTTGTTTTCTTTCAAACTCTACCATCTTCTCACATTGCTGGCACCTGAAATAAAACCACTTTTCTTTCTCATCAGCACCTGTCTCACAAGTTTGGCTTTCGTGGCAGCACACAGTTGAGCCTGCAGGGTCGTCGGTTCCAGTTTCAGAGGTGGAGAGCCAGCCAGGAGCAAATGAGAGCCTGTGGTAAGTCCTCAGACTTTGGAGGGGATTCCCTAGGCTGTCTGTGGCTGATCAACCCTGGGAGAGACCCCGGGAGTCCCTAACAGCTGCCGAGTGCATTCACTCAGGGACTATCCCTGGCTCTCTCTCAGTCCTGGCTGCTTGCTACGCTCTGCTGGGAGAAGGAAATGGCTATCCGGTGAGCTGACAAGCCTGTGACTGGTTAAGTCCCTGGTGTGCATGACTAGGGAAGCCTTCGGCCCTACTGTCTGGGTTCTTGTGAACCATCTGGGATTCCACAGGAATTGACTGGCGCTGCTCAGTGTGTGGCAAGGCTTTGTGACAGAAAATCCCAGCCCTGTTAAGAGTACTCACTCTGTTCTGCTTATATATATATACATCTTACGGGTTTTCTGTGTTTTCAGTGCTGATACAACTCTGCTTTATTTTTTTAAAAAAGTGTCTGGAAGGTTCTGTTGGCTGGTAACTGTGGGAGCAGTGCGGCCTATCCCCGAAGGCAGTCCCTTCAGCTGTGTTTTAGCTGAATGGCTTAACTAAGGGTAGAAGTCAATGACCAAGAAGAACGTAGTTTTTATTGCAATACTTCCTAGCCTACATATATACTTGATTTGGGGGGAGAATGGCTCCTGAATAATTCTTTGAATTATTATACTATATTACAGCTGGGAAATGGGATGAAATACCATATGTGCATGCCTGTGTGTCTACATAATCAGGTTGCATCAAAAAAAGGAAACAAGCTAATGGTACAGAAGGCAGGGGAATCTAGAAAGCCTCCTCTACCAGATAGCAAAACTCAGAAAGAAGAAAAAAAATGAAGAAATAAATATTTAAGGTACTCTCAGTCCTCCTCATGGAGATGTGGGAGCTGCTGCAGTCCTGGGAACTATGGGGGAATTAGTGCCACCACCTGTGGAAGCTGCAGGAGCAACTGCCCCTCCTCAACATGGGGAAAAAATGGCACTTTGCCCTGGCTAGTGTGGCTTGGTAGTTTGGAGCGTCATCCCATGTACCAAAAGATCATGGGTTCAATCTCCAGTGCAGGCATTTACCTAGGTTGCAGGTTCCATCCCGAGTCAGGGCTCATAAGGGAGTCAACTGATCAGTGCGTCTCTCTCACATCAGTGTTTCTCTCTCTCTCTCTAAAGGCAATAAATGTATCTTCAGTGAGAATTTTTAAAAAATTTTTTAAATGGCACTTTTTGAACTCAAGCCACCTTCCACCCAAGTCTGACATCCCCCCTGGCCTCTTCTCCAGCCTTCTTAAAAGTCAAGGACACTCTGAAATTAAACAGCTCACTTCTGAGCACACTGAAGGAGTGCAATCACCACCAAGAACCCAAATGGGTGATTTAAGTTTAATTAATGTCTTTTAGAGTTATTAACATAAAATATGCTTGTTTTGCCTGGGTTTATAGGAATAAGTTCATATTATTTATCTCTGTTACAAAATTTGTCAAGAGAATGGCTTGGGTAATAATTGACTTTAAAATCTCAGAGAGTTGTTAAGACTTAATAAATAAAGGGAGGTGGAAACTGGTTGAAGGAAGGTGAAGGGATTAGCCAAAAAAACATATATGCATGACCCATGGACAAGGACAACTGTGTGGGAAATGCATGAGAAAACGGGGGGGGGGGGGCTGGATGGAAGAGGGGGAAAGGGAAAAACTGAGACAGCTGTAATAGCATAAACAATACTTTTTAGAAACAAACTAATGAAATATATATAAAACTAAAATGAAAGGTTTTTGAGAAAGCTTTTCTATAACAACTATACATACCTAAATATAGTTTTCCAAAGTCTTTGGTAACTTAAAACTTCAGAGTTTTGCTGGGTTAAATGGTGAAAGCTATTAAAAATCTGGATATTTTGAAATAATACTGAAGTATTATTTGATCTAAGTTTGCCTACTTTTGGCTTCTTATTGCAGAGAAGCTAAAGGACAGATTTAGATCTGTTTATGACTATATCTTGTACTTTATTTGAAGTATGTCTTTTGAAAATGTGAGTGTGTTTCCAAATAAAAAAAATGCATTTTTAAAAGTTATAGAATGTGTTCATAAAAGTATCAATCTAAGGAATGTGAATTACTTTTAGTTGTCACTAAAAAAATCAAGGTTTCTAACAGTTAAGAATTCTAATTAAGTTAGAAAGAAATTGTATAGTTTCATAATAAAAGATACAAAGTATAACAATACTTGTTAAAAAAATAAATTGTTCTACAGCTGGTTATTTCTGAATGGTAAGAAGGCTTATAAATAGAAATCTTAATAGGAAATTAAATAGGTAAGCTAAATAATTTAATTAAGTAAATTAACCTAAATATCAAAAGTAAACTACTACGAAATTTGTTTGGTCCTTATTCAGTCTGTTAAAAAGGAAAAAAAGTTTCCCTTGTATCTGCCTAGAAAGCAAAGATTCTATGTATTATTAAGTTAATTACATCATATTATATTAATCAGGTACTTAGTTATTTGAAAACCCATCTTTTTAATCCTAAGAACTAAAGTTTTGCTAACCTGTGTTGTGTTTGAAAACTTTTGTTGTCACTGTTTAAAAACATTTTATTTATATATTTTTAGAGGGAGGGGAAGAGAGGGAACTAGGGAGGGAGAGAAGCATCAGCGTGAGAATCGGTTGCCCCTATCATGCCCCCAAACCAGGGACCTTGCCTGCAAACCAGGCATGTGTCCTGACCAGGAACTGAATGGCGATCTTTTGGTTTGTGGGATGATGCCCAACCCACTGAGTCTCACAAGTCAGGGCCTTTTGCTATCACTTTGAGTAAATAAATAGTATGTTTGACAACTTTCCCAGGGTTTCCCAGGGTTTAAATTTTAAGATTTTTTCGAGCTAGAATTGGTTTTGAGTCATTCGAATGGGCCCTCAGGATACCTCAAGGATTTGTTCTCTCTCCTTATGAAGAAATTTTAAATTGATTAAGCCTATTTGAAATACTTAAAAGTACATGGGAAGCTTTGTCAAATTAAAAAAATAATAACCATTGTATGTTTTATTTATATACATGTACTTATATTATTAAAATAAATATTCTAGAGATTATATAAAAATTGCCAAGAGTCATCAAAGTTCTGATATACTTTCATTTGTAATTTTGTTACTTTAAAAGGTTATTAGAGGAAAGCTAATTCCTTTGTCAACTGCATTATAATCAGATCTATAACCATGTCATTTTAAGTTTTTTTTCTGTCATTTAGAGAGAGTCATTGTTTCGCCCTGATGCATTTGCAAATATATTACATCTTCAGAAAAATCCATGAAAAGGATCCTGACTTAATTACATATTTCTGAGAAAAATTTTCAGATCAAAACTGGATGAAGATTAGTAGAACTCTAGACTAACTGGATTCATGGAAATACTGGCAAATCAGGATAAACAAAAACTGACTGTGGAACTGAATGAACTGAAAATAATTGTAATTTTTTAACTTTTTGTTGAAAATATTGCTAATTTTTAATCTTTTGTTTTCCAGACATAAGAAAAGTTGTTTTTTTCTTAAAGCAATTTGGTAAATTATACTTTCATAAGCAATATCGAGACATTTATTTTTTCTCCCCTCATAATCCCTCCAGAATTATTATTTTTATAGCAATATATGTTTGCATAAATCCAAGAGGAATCTCATTTCTTCATAACAGGACACATAAAGCCAGTTTTATTTACCAAGACTTTGACAATGTCATGTCTGGGTGTGACATGATTAGACTCCGGAGGTCGCCATCAAGTTTTAAGGAATGAAGATTGACTTTCAAGCTGATACAAGCCCCTTAGAGAAATGACCTGGTACTTAGCTTATTCATATGGTTTGTGGCAGGCTTTTCCAGTAAGGAATGATGCTTGCTTTCTTGGGAGATAGCAAAGGAAGAACCACAAGACATTTTGGGGACCTTGAGAACTTGAGGAACTCACCCAAGCACGTAGCTACTACAGGCAAAGCGGTATGGCAACAGTGTGACTTAGTGCTTTGTCCTGAGAGGCTAATTAAAGCTCAATCTAAAAATTTCTTATAAGATTCCAGCAAAGCAGATTTAAGAAAGCTTATATAATCAATTGCTATTCCTCTTGTATTTATGCAAATAATTAGGCTGAACTGAGACTAGAGTTAATGCGCTAAATTAATTGGTCTTGATTTGGCTCTTTCATAAAAATAAGGGTGATTTTAAAGAAAGAAAAATTGAATTTCCATAGACTCTATATACACAATTATGGACATTAGACTGTAGTTCAGTTAATTGTCTTCCAAGTTTTATTTTTCATTTATAAAAGGAACTGGATCCTGACTTTTCTAGCTTTTACCCTATAATATTGAGATTTCTAACACAGTTTGTCCCCATCCGGTTACAAGCCCTGTCCGTACTCAGGGAATGCCGCCTCCAGACACCATCACCACTTTCTCCCATGCCCAGTCCTCATCTCCCCGCTGACCAACAGCAGGACTCTCTTGGCCCAGAAGAAAGTTGTCACCCTTCTTCAGCAGGAAGAAGTTACAGAAGAGATCCTGCACCCTTTCCCTGAAAGGCTTCAGGGCCCAGATTATTGAAGGGAAAATGTGGTAGGCAGTTACACAAGATCAGAGCAAGGCCAGGTATAAAAGGTCACCAAGGTGCAAAGCTCTGGGTGCCTAGCAAGAGGCATTAAAAAAAGGAAAATAAGTAAAAAAAGAAACATATAGGCAAATAATAAATAAGGAGGCCCAGGGACCTCCCAAACCATCATTAGGAGCCCCAGGTACAACTGACAGTGGGGAACAAATTAACTTTTTAGTAGACGCTGGAGCCGCTTATTCAGTTTTAAATACAAGAATGACTAAAAGAAATCAGGAAATCATCTAGGTATAGCAGGAGTTACCAGACAGATGCAACAAAAGACCTTTTTCTAGCCTTTAGAATGCCAACTCCGAGACCTTAAGATATCAGACAGCTTCCTCTGTATGTCTGAATGTTCCATCCTTCTGCCAGGACGGGACGTACTCTGTGAGTTACACGCCCAAGTAACCTTTTCTCCAGAAAGGCAGCAACTTCACCTGCAGGTTTGATCAGAAAATGCACTCCAATTCCAGACACTTTTAATGTGTTCAGGGGAAACCAGAAAACTGTTCCCTCTTGAGATCTGCTAGTAAGTAGAAACCAGTATCGCTGAGATTCACCAAAAGGCTACATGGTTACAGCAAACATTAGATCACCATACCCCCCACCCCCTCTACTTGAAGGAATGGAAAAAGGAATTACAGATTAGCACTCTTCTTTCTTTTCATAGATACCAGATAGGGTTAGGTCTACTCTAGGTGGGATTCTAACACTTAGGCTAACTAATTTTTTTCATGTATTTTATGTTTAAAATAATCATCTGCTGTTTTGGCAAATTTGGTAAGACATTGTCTAAACCTCCAAAAATGGCTTTCTTCAATGCTAAAAAAAATGCTTCAATGCTTCTGATCAAAAACTTCTATTTCTTAATAAATTACAAGAAACTACTCCTTAAGGCACCCCAGAAGTGGAGCCAGAATTGACAGTAGAGAGTTGTAACCATGATTCAATATTACTAGTTTAGTGATCCAAATTATGCCTTCTGTAACAAATTAACCTGTGCTTTTAATCAACTCTATTTTACCCCTCTGGCCAAGTTCTTCTTATAGTTGAATAACCTGTTCCCAGAATGAGGAGCACTGACCCCTACAATGGACCACAGATGTCTGGCTGACATACATCACAAGATAATAGCAGAACAAGAACAAGTTCTGCAAATAATTAGGCTGAATGGAGACTAGAGTTAGTGCAATATATGAACTGGTCTTGATTCATTGGTCTTTGCTTCCCCTCCCCTCACTCCCAATTCCCTTTCTTGAGAGAAACTGCATGTCCGCATTACCACCCTAGGAAATCTCCCTCTCCCGAATTCCCACCAATTCCCTGTAAGAATCACTTGCTTGACTGGAGACAAGAAGATGGTTTTTAAGGCATGAGCCTGCCATCTTCTCAGGTTGCAGGCACCTGAAATAAAGCCACTTTCCTTCTTACCAGAACCTGTCTCATAAGTGTGCCTTTCGTGGTGGCAGGCAATTGAGCCTGTGGGGTCGTTTCTCCCAGTTTCAACACCACAAGTCTGAAACCTTCCAGTACTGGCCTGTACGGTGGCTACCTCTGAACTTATCTCCCCAGCTAGAACATAAACACCTGAAGTAAAAATGGAACAGAAAGTTCTGACCTCAATATGTGTATTGAAACAGTCATATCAAACACCTGAATCAGTATAACCGGATCCTGTAAAATTATGTGTCAGAATACATAAGCCATTCTGTGTTTTATAATCCAAAACAGACATTCCTAGGATCTAGAAATCCTATAGCTATATATCTTACACTAGGTTGGCCAAAGGCTTATTTAGTTTTTTCCATATGATGGCTCTAGTAGAGCTTAGTTGTCTTTAACTTCATCTGAAACAACTTTCTTAGATTGTGACAGCTGGTATTTTAGCTTGCATTTTAAAAAAAACTTATCGCCCTGGCTGGTGTGGCTCAGTGGATTGAGTGTCAGCCTACAAACAAAAGTCTTGCTGGTTCGATTCCCAGTCAGGGCACATGCCTGGGTTGCAGGCCAGGTTCCCAGCAGTGGGTGTATGAGAGGCAACCACACATTGATGTTTTTCCTCCTCTCTTTCTCCTTCCCTTACCCTCTTTCTAAAAACAAATAAATACATCTTAAAAAAAATAAAAAATAATAAAAAAAACTTATCGAAGTTGGTGAATTTTGGTGTGGCCATTTTAATACTGAAGATGAAAGAAAATGTCCAACATTTTTGGTGTATTGTGCTTTACTATTTCAAGAAAAGTAAAAACGCAATTGAAATTCAAAAAAAGATTTGTACACTGTATGGAGAAGGTGTTGTGACTGGTCAAAATGTGTCACAAGGGGTTTTTGAAGTTTCTTGGTACTGTTGACATTTTGGCCAAAAATTCTTTGCTGTGGGGCTGTCTTATGCATTCAAAGATGTTATGCAACCCTGGCCTCTACCCACTAGAAGCCAAAAGCAGGAGACAGCTGACACACTCCAAATACCCAAATCAATTAGTGAAAATGAAAAATTTGTCTTATAATTTTACAGAAAAAACTAAACAGACTTTTTGGCCAACACAATGTATCACACATAGCATATATGTTCTTACACAGATAAGACAGCATATGTCTTATAATCTTAAAGCTAGAAGTGACTTTTGTATGCTTCTAGGAGTTAGCATAAAGTTTTGCATACAGTACGTGTCTAGTAAGTAAGTATCTGCTACATTATAAAAAGGGCATTGGTAACTCCTTGGCAGTTACAAAGGATCAGAAAGGGTCAAGCAGGGAAATTTGGAAACACTGGGTACTATAAAAGAGGTATATTTAGGGGTTATTTCATTACCTGACTTCTTCCCCAAAGTCCTAACTGTAACAGTACATATAGGAGCTAAGTGACTGTTCTGGTCACCTGGCCTAATGAATCGGAATGGGTCTCACCCTTATTTCCAGCTATAGTTACATAATTATAGTTTCACTGCTCATGACCTGGCTCTCAGATTTCTTAATCCTAAAAATGTCTTCTCAAAGCACTCTAAGAACCACTCTTCCTCTGAACATTACTGAAATACCCACAAACATCAATGAATTATACTTTATTTTTATTTAAAGAAGTGGCCCAAAAACATCATTCCTGAGACTTCTAGTAAACATCAAATCTTCTATAAGTAGTTCTTCTTGAGATAACAGAGTGCACCAATATAAAGCTGGATAAGAATACAGGCCAAACATGGAAAGGGGAGAGATGACAGAAAAATTACTCTCATCAAAACAGGCCGCTTGCGCCCCTGACTGGCAGACTCTCCCACTTTTGCCAGTGGCCTGCTGGTTGTTAACAATGTCCTATTATATTTTATATGTTCCTGTCAAAATCCTACTAGAAGCAACTGCCTCCAAGGCAAGTCAGAAAGTATATGAACCTATTTCCAGGAATAGAGCAGAGCTTGGTTTGGAGGTGGCAGCACTGTAACTTGAATTGCTTCCTGTCGGTAGCCACTTACCTTTTTTTCCTTTTTGCCAAAGCTGAGGCCAGGGGTCTCCTTCTCAACAACTATGCACGAGATGCCTTTGGGACCTGGTCCTCCTGTTCGGCACATAACCACATAGGTATCTGATTCGCCTCCACCACTGATGAAGGCCTGCGGGTTTGGAGGCGGGGCACAGGGGTCAGGGAGCGCATGAGTCCTCAGAGCCTACCACCCGGGAGAACAGCTGGGGTCCTTCTGACAACAGGACACGATGTGGCACACTGGCACAGAGCAGCTGAGGAAGGCTAAGAAGAAACTGCACTGACTAGGAAATCAGGGGCCTAGCTGATGAGACTGTAAAAAGGAGAGGCCAAAATGGGTGAAATTATCTGGAACCAGATCAGAAGAGACAGAAACAATGCAGGTGATACAGGGAAATGGGTCACAGGTTCTCTTCCTAGCATGTAAAAAAGTCCTATGGGAATATTAACTCGCAGATAGCAAGGATCCAGGCGACGTCAGCGAGAGGATGGAAACAATCTCCCAGTTGTTCGGGGAGAGCACACTGGTACCTTGGAGCCATTGAGGATGTAATGATCTCCTTGTCGTTTAGCTGAGGTCAGGAGGGAGGCAGCATCGCTCCCACTGCCTAAGGCGGGATCAGAGAGGAAGCAGAGAGGGCAGAGGAGAAAGTCAGAGAGGTTAAGGGAGCTCCAGCACAGCTCCATCTCCTAGGAAACCTTCCCTTATGACAAACAGCTCACAGGTTGACACTTCAAACTTGAGACCCCCCAAGGAACTCTCTGTCCTTGACAGAAGTTGCATACAGCAGTCAGACCATTTTCCATGTTCATTGCACTGTCTTGCAGTGAGCCTCCTACAAGGAGCCTGGAGAAACTTTGCCCTAGAGGCCTCTTAGTCTTGCACCATCAAGTCATGAGAAACTGTTAATCTAAAACCAAATTTCTGGCAAATAATGGTTATATGCATCAACAGGCTAAGGAGCACTCAGTGACTTCACCTGAGTAACATCTTACCTGCAGTACGGCAAACCCACCTGGCTCAGTGAGGCAGTAGGAAGCAAACTTCTCCATGGTACAGAGCGGCGGGCAGAATTTGTGCCTCTGTTCCTCATTTCCAAAGGTATCGATCATCCAGGTACACATGCTGACAGGTATACAAGACAGGTATACAAGAACAAAAGACACTCACAGAGGTAAAGATGGGAAAGGAAGTTTGAGGAGGAAGGGGAGGGGAGAAAGAAAACAAAGAAAGGTAGACAGAAGCAGAACAGAGAGTGGAAGGGAAAAGTCACAATTGAGAAGATTCAACTTTAAAGGAAAGGCCTGGATTATACCCTATTTTTGGGACAGGTACAACCCAGAGATGACCTGGGCCAAGGCAGTTCTCACCTGAATGCTCCGGCTACTTCCACGTAGCTCCCTAACTGAGCTCCCTAAAATGCTAAGAGTTTTATGTACTTTCCCAAATTTCTGGAGGTTTCCTCTTTGGGTTGAAGAAAAGGAAAGCAGGGCCCTAACCACTGTACTGGAGAAGTCTCTTTGGTGCCAATCTAAGATTTGGGAGAAGAGGAGGCAGACCTGATTTTCTGAGCAACATACACAAAGACAAATTCAAGTCCAACAGGCAGCAGCAGACCTAGTATAAACCTTTAACAGTCTCGTTCTCAAAAGGCAAACAACCTGAAAAGATCAATCTTTTTCCTATTTATCTGAAATTTCCTAGTCAACCCATGGGAGCACTTGATTGTGCTTTCCACACTTGGCGCACTCACTTGTGGATGCTTATATAGGCTGTGGTGCTGGTGCAGCCTGTAGCCAAGGCTTCAAAGATGACAGAGGCATCGAGCCGTGAGAGTCCAGACCCACCCACATCTGTTCGTACGTATACCCCACCGAAGCCTAGCTGGGCTGCCTTCCGCATCATGTCCACTGGGAACAGTTCCTATGCACAAGAGAGCAGAGTTGTTAGTGATTTGCAGGTGGCCTTCCTTCAGAGGGCATAACAAGGGATGAGCACGTTTGCATTTGGAAGTATAGGGATTCTCTTACCTTGCTATGCCTGTCATCTAGTCAGCGGCATCAGTTAAAATGCATTCTATAAGGACTGGTTTTCTGGCATTAAAGTTTCTTTTTACTATCAATACAACTGCCTTGGTTACGGAAGTAGTCTAAATCCTTGTGCAATAAAATAAAAACAAAACAGGTATCTTCAAGACGATAAGAATGCCCTCTAAAAAAGGAATCACTTCATTACGAGGACTCCCATGTTTAAGTGGAAAATAAACAATGAACAGTTAGGATTACGAGGGGTGAAGACAGGCATTTGCTGGAACATCTAGCCACAGAAAAACTTCTACCTTCTGGTCCCACTCTGCCATATGTGGAGCCATCTCCCGGGCTGCAAAGTCAAAGGCCACTTTCTGAAATCCTTTCTGTTCTTCATTTAGTCCGATGGAAGCTGTGGGCAAGATCGCATATATTCAGTTCCAGAACAGGGGTCCAGGGAGGGTACCATAAATAAGGAGCAGCGTGAAGCTGGGACAGACTTGCCAGAGCATTTCCCATACACAGCACTTTTAACACCCAAAGAATGACATCACCCAGCGATACTCAGTTTCTTTGCTATATTGGATTGGCCAAGAAGTCCATTTAGTTTTTTCTGTAAAATAAAAGACAAATTTTTCATTTTCACCAATAACTTTATTGATTTGACCATTTGGAGTATGTAGGCTGTCTCCTGCTATTGGCTTCTAGTGCATAGAGGCCAGGGGTGCAGCTAAACATCTTCAAAAGTATAAGACAGCCCCACAGCAAAGAATTATTTGGCTAACATGTCAACAGTACCAAGAAACTTCAAAAACCACTTTTGACACATTTGATAAATCATAGCACCTTCTCCATACTGTGCACAAATCTTTTTTTGTGTTTCAATTGCGTTTTTACCTTTCTTGAAATAATAAAGCATGATATGTCAAAAATGTTGTGCATTTTCTTTCATCTTCAGTTTTAAAATGGCTACACCTAAATTCACCAACTTCACTAAGTTTTTTTTAAATTGAACGCTGAAATGACAGCTGTCAAAATACAATCTAACAAAATTGTTTCAAATGAAGTTAAAGACAATTAAGTGCTACTAGAGTCATTGTATAGAAAAAAACTAAACAAGCTTTTTCGCAAACCCCGTATTACTAGCTTTTCCCGTCTTCCTTTATTCCCAAGTGGACTGGCTGACTTCATTTACCTCCTAGTTATTCTTTCAGTTCTCTTCTTTAGCTCTACCTCCTCATACATCCACATTAAAATAGTAACACACGTGGATTCTCAAATTACAGCAAACATGTCTTTCCTTTAGGCTGTCCTACCTGAGCTGTGTTAATATCCTGGGAGAACAGTGTCCTATCCACATGTACCTGTCTATTGCTGTCTTTCTGCACCAACATTCATTTTAAAAGATCAATTAGGAAAGGAAGACACATATACTTTGGCTTACTTTCAAAATTAAGGAAAAGATCTTAGAATAAGACCATGCATTTAGTAAGTCTCAGACATTTGAGAACAATGTTAATGAAAGTGTTTCAGTGTTAAAACATGGTTAAGGTCTTACTAATCTGTTTTCACTCCATGGACTCAGAATCTTAGAACCTTTTCTAGCCTAACTATCAGTGCTGTGACTTTGAGTAATTCCTTCACTTCTAGGTCTAAGATACCTAAAGAGTTAAGGACAATGAATTAACTGAGCAACACCAATAGGCAGGTAGTATGGCTCCACGGGAAGAGGTTTCTCTAGAGCCTTAAACTTCTTATGAAAGACTACGCTGTGAGTATTTCATCAGGGAAGATACTTTTTAGGAGGAAGATACCTATACCTGCTTACATCAAACAGAATGACTATGTGATTCACAATATCATTACAAATTTTCTTTAATGAGTCATTTCCCCTAATGACATGAACACTATTTTTTACCCATTTTTCAAAAACTACACGGAGTAAGAGAGGATTGAATTGGGAAGCAGAGCTGTAAGTCAACTGTCTAGTAAAGTAAGGTCTAAAGTATGCCTCCTGTTTTGCAGGGTGATACCAACTTCCAGCTAGAGGCAGGCCAAGAGCTGAGAGTCAAGACCTAGGCAAAGCTTCTGTAAGAAAAGGCAACCTTGTGGGGACTGTGTAGAGAATTTAGAAAAGATGGAACCACAGATCCGGGGAGCCAGAACACCCCAGTAAGATCAGCGACCTGCACAGGGTGAATCAGACCTGTAATGTTCACACTTCGTACTCTTTTGTTGTTCCTTACTACTGCTGTTCTGAGAGGACCACCGGCCTCGGTTGTGCCAAGAGAAAATGAAGGAGTGTGTGCCTAGGCTTGGAGGTACAGTGGAGCCCGGAGCCACATTGGTAGCTGTAAAAGTGGAGTGAACGGGAAGAGAAAACGCAGGGCTCTATACGACCTCGCTGTACGACCTTTCAGCATCTCTGGGCCACACTGGAAGGCCTATCTTGGGCCACATGTTAAATACATTGTGACACGTAATCACAAAAAAAAACCCTCATAATGTTTTAAGTAAATTTACGATTTTGTGTTGGGCCACATTCATAGCCACCCTGGCTGCGTGCGGCCCGTGGGCGGCAGGTTGAACACCCCAGTAAGGTTTCATTCTGCAGGGCTAATCTGGTCATTCTGGGGTGATGCTAAGGAACACTAAAGGAAGACTACAGAGCCACACTCAACAAAAATTTACTTCAGTGCCTAATGCCAACACCGCACAGCCCCTCCAGCAGAGAGCAAGTTCAGGTGGCAGAGCCCGCTTCCCCGGGGGCAGATCAGGGTACCTCCTCTGTGAGGCGGGAGAAAGCCGTCTGTGTGCATCGGACTCTCATTAGAATGGGAAACTCAGAAATGGACAGTTGTGAGGATGAAAGATTAGGCCTGAGAAGCCCAGAGCAGATGGGGATGTTAGGTGTTACCCTGAGAAATATAGTTAGGGTATAGAATATAGTTTAGTGTAGTATAGAATATAGTATATAGTTTAAATATATATCAAACAATTCATGATTTTCCAACTAGGAGTCAGGTCATTCATTTGCATAATGGTGCAGAAATGCCCTGTAGACCGAAGCTCAATGACCGTTCACCAAAGAGTGTTCACTGGCCGTTGTGGAGCAGTGCTGTAGTACTGCAAACATCTCACTGTGGAAAGAGAGGCGCTACAGGATTTCAGTCGCGGCAAGAGCTCAATAAATGTTTACAGTTATTATTATCATTGTTATTTTTTTTTGACAGTAAAACAAGCAGTTCAAGGAAAAAATAAATTTTAATTGCATCCTAGGTAAATAACAGGGAACAGGTGTATGCAAATCATGTATAAGTAAATACAACATAGTTACATTTTTTAAGAAAACAAATAGTTTTAGCTAAAGGGATGCTAATGAAAGGAAAGCATTACTTGGAGGAAAAAGAAGTGGAAAAGGCAAGTTAAAAAGTAAAACCTATACAAGAAAGTATGGTTATTAAAAATACCTAAGTTCCCAGAAAACACACACTATAACACAACACAAAACCTCATGAAGTTTGCTGAAGCTACTGGCAGAGATCAAGGAGCCAACACACCATCGATGCGCGCGCGCACACCCACCCACTCACCCACACACACACAAATGGTAAAGTTAAATAGAAAAAGGGTCCAAATGAGATGAAAGTCTTCATTGGGTAGCAACAGAAGTATTAGAGGTGAACACACACACACACAAAGAACAACTTCAAATAATATAATAATCCTTAAAAGCATCCAAAGTACAGACTCAATAGTTCTATTTGAGAATCTTGGTGTTCAAGGAATGCTTGGGAATTTGTAGCAAATTATAGTAAAAGGGCGCTAGTCAAGGAATTAACTCATTTGAGCTCTGGTTCTGAAATTATTAATTGTGCAATGTTCAGTAAGTCAGGTACCTCTGTACACTCAGCTACTGGATTGCAAACTGAGGGGACTCCACTAGACACTGAGTACACTTCCTCACTTGCAAAATGGTAATACTGTAAAATGAGGAAATTATATATGTGTGTAATATATGTTAAAATATAATAAAATCACAATTTTCTTAAAAATTATTTTTCACATTAAAATATAAAATGAAACAATGAGAAGTATTTGTTGACCACTTCCATTAATTTGACATTTTAAAAGTTGGACGATATATTGAAAGGACAATTTCCTTTTATTTTACTATTTAAAAGATAATTCCCTTTAAAAACATGAACAAGCACTTTACTGGCTGAAGTTACACGACTGGCTGCTAGAAATACTCCTGTTTAACCTACCGAGGGACAGAACAACTCCCTCTCTGCTTTGCTATCAGCAAGGGTGACCTTGTTTACCAAGTTCTCAGGCTGGACCAGGGCAGCACCTTGTGAAGGTGTGTTAGGTCACTGAGAAGAAAACCGCAGTCCATACCTTAGTGCACTTTCTAGACCTAAGTATCAATCTAAGGGATTCATAGACTATTCATAGACTATTTTTTTTAAATCATTTATTTAAAATTTAAAAATACATATTTCAGAAGGAAAAAAGGGGTTAGGTGACCGACAGGCACAAAGTGGCTGGGGATCTCCTCGGCGGCCTAGGTCATCCGGACCCCTCCCTGTTATTCTAAGTCACTTCCCTGGTCCCTGCAGACATTCAGGTCTGTGAACTCTGAGAGTTCCCCTCTTGCAATATGTTTTTCTTTAGGAATTTCCACAGTAAAATCGTTTTACAGCTATAGGTGTAAAGTTATAAAATCTAAATACTTGAGCCCCGGGTGGTGTGACTCAGTGGACTGAGTGCTGGCCTGCGAAGCAGAGGGTTGCTCATTGGATTCCCAGGCAGGGCAGGTGCCTGGGTTGCGGGCAGGGTCCCCAGTAGGGGGCGCCGCGAGAGCCAATCACACGTTGACGTTTCTCTGCCCCTTTTTTCTCCCTCTTTCCCCCTCTTTCTAAAAATAAATAAAATCTTTAAAAAAATCTAAATACTTGAGCAAATCTGTATTACTTGGAGCTTTTTTTCATCTATCACCACCAGCACCATTTTTTACATTCTTACTGCCCTTATGACCTATTGTTATGATTTAAAAAAAACCGAAGTCGCGAGTTTCTGCACCTCTGTAAGCATCCACTCATTATTTAAAAGCAGGGATAACAGTGTATCTGAGTTGTAAGGATAAATGTAAAGTTCTTAGTTATTGTACTCATTTCATAAGTAAACTTACGAAACACGTTATCAAGAGGTTGATAATACAAAGTAAGTTTAAGGAGGAGCTGAACAATACAGGAGTAAATAGCATTAGAAACAAGGACTAAGCTGTTTTAGCTGCAGGGCCCCCATGCAGTAGGAAGACATAGTTTCAGACAAGAATCTCCAAGTCCCTCTAGACAAGCGATTTTAACCCTTGTTCATTTCACAGCACACATAAACTAATTACTAATATTCCGTGGCATGCATACATACATACATACACATACATATATATACACTTGCCAAATCTGACCAAAAAAAAAAGGTATGAATTCGATTCATCCACACCAGACGGCTGCAGTCAGTGCCGCTGACTAAATAGCGAGGTACACAGCGCTCCAGAACCAGTGAAGGGCCTGGCCAGGTCACACGCTTCAGGAGCCTGGCTTCGTACCTACGCTCCTTCCGGGGGCGGGCGTGTGGGCGTGGAGGGGGAGAAGGGGCTGACAGGGCTCAGGCGCGCAACAGGTGGACTGAGGTCGGAAAGAGTGAGAAGCGCCAAAGCCACCCAGGTGGATAAGATCGCGGCCCGGGGGAGAAGCCGAGCCGGGGGTGACCTCCCGGAGACAGAGAGGAGGGCGGAAAGAGGAATGGGGGTGGGGGGGTGAGAGCCCGGGGCTGACGGTGGTGCCGACCTCCCCGGGGTGACAGAGCGCTCCGTGGGCGCGGAGATCACGGCCCAAGTCCGGGTCCCGAACACCTGTTCCCCGGGGTGAGCCTTACGGTCGATGCAGGAGACCAAGCTCCGGCGGCCGCTGCCGGCGAGGGCCCGGAGACGACCGCGAGGGCAGCTGCGCCACGCTCCTAGCCGCCGGCATCCACTCCGCCACATAGCAGCCAAGGACTGGAAGCACGTACGCTAGGCGCGTCTCTCACAGCCCGAACCCGGCGGCCAAGCCTTCATCCCCACGCCCCGCGCCGCGCGCCCTGGGAGCTGTAGTGCATTCTGGAAGCTGGCGCGCGCCCCGCTTACTCACCATCGGCGTTCAGGCTGGTCTGCGCGGGGAGCAGGGACTACAACTCCCAGAGACCCGCGGGGCCTGGGGGCTCGAGAGACGTGTGCTGAAAGCGCCTCCGGGAGGTTGGCTGGGGTCCTGTCTGCTGAGTGGTGGGTCCGGCTGCTGAGAAAGTGGTGAAGGAACGAGCCAAGGCTAGAGGGAGAACCCGAGAATAGTGAAGGGGCAGGTTACGCGGGATGCAAATGGGGTCGTGGATAATTGGAGGACGTGTGCTTCGCAAAAGAGCCTCGGGGCTGAAACCCTCTAAGTTTCTTTCCATTGTCTCTATCTTGCTCCGCGCAGGTTTCTGGAGGCAGATACAGAGTTGCCTCTTGTGTCTCGGGAGATTCCAGAGTCTTCCGCTCTTCAGCCCCGTGCAGGGAGACCATGCCAAGACCCAGGAAGAGGCTGGCGGGGGCTGCTGGGCAAGGTGAGCTTGCACTTAGGCTGCAGAAAGGCAGCTCACAGAGGACATTTCTCCAGGGTGTTTGATGCTCTTCCCTTTCGACCCTCTCTCTGCCTGTGGGAGAATCCTTTGTGGATTATTTTTTGTGTTATCCTAATTGCCCTCCATCTTCTCCTTTACTCCCCATCAAGCTTATACCCAGAGCGCTTTCTGTTTGTTCATTCAAGCAATAGCTGTTTGGTGAGCACAAAAAGTATTTGTGACACAGGGTGGCATGTGTACTTCCTGCTCTGAGAATGCAGAGAGACAGAAGCGGAAGGATCCAGGACGCTGAATTGCTGGGCAGGTTAAGAGAAGGCAGGAATCTCAGAGAAATCCTTGAGAAGCAAGTGGAGTTTGAGCCCAGCCTTGAGGGATGGAAAGGCTTTCCACACGCCAAGAAAATGAGATGTCATTTTATATTAATAAATACAAATACCATTCTGAGTGGATGAATAGCAGGAACAAAGCAGTTCAAGGTAGGGAAAGTAGCTCTTTTGGGAATGGCAGGGTTGCAGATTGACCACAACGCTGGTTTTAGTGTGCCTCTTCACTCCAAAGGGGGCACTAGGAACTAGGCTAGGAAGGTTAGGGTTTAGACATCCAGAAATGATATTTAATGATGACTGACATAGGAACTGTGACTTAATTCAGAGGCTGTGTAGAATTGTCATTCGGTGGGGAGTCAGAGAGACCAGAGTGACGAGTCCTGATTCCACCGGTCACTGGTTGTGTCATCTGGGATACATTTCCCAGGTGAATAAACATCTCATACATTGTATGGATTCACAGGATTACAGTTAGGGTAACAGAGGGATTTGTCCTGTAGCAAGAATTTAACAACTCGTTAGCAATTGAGTTCCCCAGGCACATCTTCTCTAATTCACTTAGGATAAAATCCAGTCTTTATCATGTCTGTGTACAGTCCTGAATGGGTGGCTTCATCCAGCTTTTGTTGGTACCATCAAGGAGCAGAAGGGAGGCAGGCCATGAAAGCACAGTGATCAAGAAGGAAAGTGTGAAATGATGGTGATGATAATAGCTAATATTTATTACTTATTATAAAGCCAGGCATTGTCTAAGCTCATTGTTCCTATTATATTATTTGATTTTCGAAACAAGCCCACAGAGTGGGGGCTTACTTTCTATATCAGAAAGGATCACCTCAGCAAAGACACAGGAGTGAGGGAAGGAAAAACTTTGGCTACTTAATACATGCCCAGGTACTCAGCTAGGATCTTTAACCTTAAAACTACAACCAGGTAAGGTATTCTTACCCCACTGAATGGGTAGTCCAGAGATGTCCCTTAAGGTAGGCATTCTTGTCCCATTTTTGTAGAAATAAGTTCAGCAGTTGAGCTGCTGCTGGTAACGGACAAATCCAGGATTTGAGTCCAGCCTGACTCCACAGCATATACTTTCTCCACAGTAAGACATCACCTCTCAGCACGTATGATAGCTCTCTTCTTCTTGCTTCTATTGCAGACAAGAAGGGACCAGCAGGAAAGCGTACAAAGGCGAAGGATGCAAGTGAGGCATCAGCTAAAGTGGAGAACTCCAGTCCTCAGGGGACTTCAGCCCTTCAAAAATGTGGGAAGAATCTAAGCAACTACTGGCTGATGAAGTCAGAGCCAGAAAGCCGACTAGAGAAAGGTGTAGATGTGAAGGTGAGACCAGGTACCTGTCTCTAATCCCTACAAGCTGGTTTTATATTTTAAAATAAAAAATGAATATGGACACCACAGGGTTTCGTTACCAGCTTCTTATCTTTGAAGGGGAGGGAAAAGGAAATACGGAATATAATCAGCAGGACTTACTACCATCAACGATCTCTTTTGTGAATCCTCTATCTAGGGAAGGGGTGGTAAACTCTCTGTAAAGGGCTAGACAGTATATATTTTAGGCTCTCTGGGCTTATAGTTGCTGTAGCAACTTGGCTGTGGCAAGAACATTGTCATAGCCAAAACATAATCAAATAGCTTGGCTGGGTTCCTGTAAAACTGGATTTACAAAATCAGCCTTGGGGTATAGGTCTGGCCTGAACGCTGTAGTTTGTCAGCCCTTATCTATACATTTCAGTTTTATATTGTCATTTTCTTGCCACCTGGCATGCTCCCAGGGAATTAATGTAAACTAATTTTAGTAATAGCCCAGAGAAAATATAATTAGAAATATTATTGAATAGATAATATTTAATAAGTTGAAATAAAAATAACAGATTTCTTTATGCTCTGGATTATCCATTCAACCAATCCTCTTAATTAGCAGGTTAATTAAACTCACTATCCTCATTGAAATTAAGTGCCTCTGTCAAGAGGTTATTCTTGTATTATTATTTATTAAAATTATTTTCCATATGAACAACTGTGAACCTACTTTTGCCCACCCTGTAAGATGAAGGACAATGAGCGGGATCCAATCCTGTATTCAGGTAGCCCTTGAAATGAGCTGATACCTTCATATTTAGTTTTCAAGCACAAAAACAAGAAAAAATGGCATATTTTTCTTTCATGGGAAATGTATTAGCATGACCATTCATATATATTGAGACATTCCTCATTGCCTCTTCTGTGTCCTCCTATAGAGCATAGTATACTTGTTTTGTAATTTTTGTCATAAAAAATTACCCAAAATGAACAGTAAACTTGATGGGGACAGCAATCACATCTTTCTAATTATTGCATCTGCAGCATTTTATGCAGTGTCATGCATGGTAACTACTCAAAATGTGTTGAATGGAAAAACACAAAAAGAAAAAACAAGTGCCTCTGTTGAGCTACTTCCCAGTAAACTGCATACTTCCACAGTAGCCAGGAACACCCTCAATGTATGGGAAGACGTCGTTGGTTCCCATATATTCTTACCAATTGGCCCAGGATCATTTAATGATTGGCCTTATTTCCTGTCACCCTAGTTCAGCATTGAGGATCTCAAAGCAGAGCCCAAGCAGACAGCATGCTGGGAGGGTGTTCGCAACTATCAGGTAAGAGCAGGACCCTGAGACCGAGAGTGGGATCAGTCCCTGCCTCCTTTTTTTGATTTATTCAGTAGCAAAATCTCTTGGCCAAGGTTAGTTTTTCCCAGTGCCCAAACTAAAACTGTACACAACACCGCCTTAATTACTCCGATGCACACAATTTGCAAATGGTGTGTATTTTAGGCAGTGTCCTAATACAAGTCTGGGTATCTTGGCAAAGGCAAGAATTGAATTGGGGACACTGCAATGAAGAAAAACTCATTTAACAAAAGAAGAGTTGCTTTCTGCTAACAGCTACTGTTTTCCAGTTGGTGTGAAGGATAATTCTTACTTCTTCTCTCCTGGGACAGGCCCGGAACTTCCTCAGAGCCATGAAGTTGGAGGAAGAAGCCTTCTTCTACCACAGCAATTGCAAAGAGCCGGGCATCGCAGGACTTATGAAGGTTATCTGTGCAGGCTTTCGCCTGAACCCCTTTCTACGTGCAGATATAGCTAAACTAGATATAGTTTAGAGCTATAGCTAAACTAGATTAGGGAAAAAGTCCCTTCTCCCTATCCCTGCCCTGCCAGTGTTACAGGAGAACTGCCCGGGCCCCTTCCTGTGTGGTGAGGTTCTAACAAGACAGGCCTTCATTTCAGGTCCCACCGGCACAGACTTCTCTCCATTTTTACACCTTGGCCTTTCACCCCAAAACAAGGCTGATGGTAGCTCTTCCCAGCCAGGAGTTATCAGGGTAAAATTATTAACCACAGGTGGAAAAACAGTGGCACCAAGAACGTAGTTTTAAGATTTTTGTCACAACAGGATTGATTTCCTGCTTGCCTCAGACTGTGCATTATTTCCAGATACCTGAGCCCACACTGGCTCTACAGCAAGGCAGATGGAGTAAGAATGTTTAGGGCCAGAGATGAAGGTTGGACTTGGATTAAAGATTTGCCACGGAGCTGACTACACAGGCCAGTGATGGGAGGGGTGGGTGTGGTTTTGGTTTCAGATTGTGAAGGAGGCTTACCCAGACCACACACAGTTTGAGAGAAGCAGTCCCTATTATGATCCGTCTAGCAAAAGAGACAGCCCCAAATGGTTCATGGTAAGGACTACTGTTTTTCCTCTGTCATGAGGGGAAGGCTGGGTGAAAAGGGAGGAAGGTCTGGGGTGTATTTAGGTCAAAGCATGGAGCTCAGCTGACTCAGAGGAGGTGGCCTTGCCTTTGGAGGGAGCAGAGCACTGGCAGCGCTGCCCGCAGGAACCTTCTGCAGCAGCTGAAACACAGTGGACAGAGTCCAGCTGGCCCTGTCCCCCACTGTTGTCACCTAGGTGGATGTGCAGTTTATTCGGATGATGAAACGTTTCATTCCCCTGGCTGAGCTCAGAACCCATCACCAAGCTCACAAAGCCACTGGTGGGCCTTTAAAAAGTATGGCGCTCTTCACCCTCCAGAGACTCTCAGTTCAACCCCTGAGCCAAGGTAAGCGTGGGCCCTCGGCTTTACCCCCCCACCCCCGCCCCGCACACCAGGGCGGCACTGGCGGTGACTCACGCATACTGAGGAGTCACACTGGGTTCGGTGCTTACCCTGAGTCTGTCCTTCCACCTGTAATGACTCTGCAAGAGGAAGGCTGTCCTCAGGCACCCATTTCTGGGTACCTAGAATCCAACACTGCTTGGCACAGAGTTAAAACCCTCTGTAACTAGTGTCTGAATGAAGACTACCTGCCTCTGTACCATGAGCGATGCCCAGCCACCTTAACTTCCCTGTTCAAGAGGAGACAGACCTAATTCTTCCTTTGTTTTCCCCCTTTTTCTAGAGGAGTTTGACTTTATTTTGAGCCTGGAGGAAAAGGAACCGAGTTAACTGAGACACTTGCTGGAATGGGCAAGGCATTACTCCAAAGAAACGAGGCTTTTGTAAGAGAACAGGTGTGAGGAGCCTTGCTTGTTGTGTTCGTTTGAGGTTGTGTACTTTTCTCAATAAAACTCGAGTCTCCAAGTTGGAAGGCTTCTCTCTTAGAGCAGCGCTGGGCGCAGTGGCGCACTCACGCACTCCCCTGCGGGAGTTTTACCTGCTGGTTGGCTCCTTTCCCTCTCGGCAGCGGCAGCGTGCAGGGCCACCTGTCACCTTCCTTCACTGTAGCAAACAGCAGCACGCAGGGCTGAGTCCGCCGAGCCCCACTGGAGCGGACTTCTGTCTTTCTACACCAGCCGTCCTCACCCGCCCCTGGAGCTGGGAGGCCCCACAGGGGTTTAAACCAGTAATTTTATCAGGATAAAATTATCAACCACAGGTGAAAAAACAGTGGCACCAAGAATACACTTCTAAGATTTCTGTCAAAGTGGCATTGATTTCCTGTCTGCCTTAGACTGTGCATTATTTCCAGATACCTGAGCCCGCACTGGCTCTACAGCAAGGCAGATGGGGTAAGAACGTGTGCAGCCGGAAATGGAGGTTGGTCTTAGACTAGAGTTTTGCCACAGAACTTACTATAGGCCAGCGAATTACTTGCCTAGCAGCTTGTCCAGCTGTTTCAGGACAAGTTGCTAAACCAGAATTCCTTTCTCGGCGATGTGCTTGCTAAAACAGGTATGAATAAAGCATCCACCATTGTTCACCAGAGGCCACAAAGAGAGGGCAGGCATTTTGCTGGTTAAGGGTGGAGTCTGTGTTTCCTTGTATGTGAGGTGAGAGTGTAAATCAGAAGAGACCACAGAACCTTGTGGACCATGGGCAAGATGCCAGCAAGCCACAGGGGCTTCCTTTAATCAGAGAGACAGCTGAAACAAGTGTTTTTTTTTTAAAATACAGCCATTGAAAAGACGATACATTAAGAAACATGTAAACACCGCAGCTGCTTAATTACAAGTTGCACTGCTTGGTTTAGTACCTATGCACTCCCAGGTGTGGGGACCTTTAACAGAGGGGGCCGGGAGCCTCCCCTCACTTCCACAGTTGGGCAAGTGGAGAATGGGGCACAGTAAGAAATCAGATCTGGCTTGTGCACAGCTCCTGAGAGAATAAAAGCAAATTCTATCTTCTAGTTCTCCCAGTAGAAAGGTTTACGATGTTAAGAAAGTTGGAAAATTAATTTGTGTGGTCAGGTGGGGGGGGCAGAGGAATGGACAGATGCTTTCCAGTTAGATCATCGGTTACGGGAGGCACACCGGAGCTTACTCACGCTCTGAAAAAGGCAGGAGCACAGAACCTGCCTCCCCATAACACTCAAGCTGCACCCTTGAAGATCCAGGGACAGCTGGATGGTGATCCTGTTCCCAGGGGACTGTCCGTTGTACCTGAACTTGGGGCCAAGCCCTGGGGAAACCACTGCGCCCTCCTTGGTGCTGCTGTCCCCCGGTCAGACTCAGGTGTCACCCCAGATGCCCTTCCCTCCAGTCTTGGATCTAACGTGCACGCCCTGCCCAGCAGAGGCCCACGACTGCACTTAATTTGCAGGAAGAGCCATCCTGGTTTTCCGCACTAACGGAAAGATGACACGGAAACCAGCCTCTCTGCTGCCCAAGGTTCAGAGAACTCAGACATTCAGATGAGCCCTTTGTGGCCAGCAGGGCCTGCTTGTCTTCCCAGCACGGACGGCAGGCCAGCAGGAGAGTCATTCCTGGTCATCTCCAGAGGCGGTGAGACAGGATGTCAACACTGCGACTGCAACGGCCCAGGGCAGCGTGGCCGGGGGATCCCCTTCTCTTGTGTAAAGGAATGTCCACGTGCGTTCCTGTAACGTGTTTCCAAAGAGAAACAGCGGTGGTCCTACGCGGGGGTCAGTCGGCTGGTGAAGGCGAGGACCTGACTGGGCAGGCAGGATCACTCGGAAGTTGCGGGGCAGAGCCTCCTGCTGAGATCCTCACTGCCCACCTTTACTCTCAGGTTTAGGAAGGAGTGACAGAGCTTGGGCAGTGGTCAGAACAAGACTTTCCAACTGTGAAACCCAGCCCCCGTTCTCAGAAATCAAATGGAGAGCAAGGAGTGATAAGGATCCACTCTTAGGGCAGCCAAGACATCAAGTCCCTTTCCTGGGATCTGACTTTAAAGGAAACAGACGCTCTTGTTTATGCTCGCTGGGTACCCGGGCACCCCAGCCCGCACGGCGCCCGGGGCTGACGCTGGGGAGGTCCAAGGTGGAGGCAGGCAGCTGCCACGCGCTGAGCACCCTTCTGCCTCGTGCGCCGGCAACGCCTCCTGCGTTCGCCACTGCTGCTCTCCACACATGACACTGACCTTGGGGGGATCTCTGTGCCAGGATTCCTCACAGATGAGGGGACACCAGGCAAAGGCCCTTCCGCAGGCTTCTGTCCCAGGATGTCAGACAAGAATCCATAGAAGATGGAAAAGGGGTACCTGGCTCCCAGCGGGGAGAAAAGGCCGGCGATGAGGTGGCTTGTGGAAAGCACCACATCCAAGACTCCCAGAGAGGTAGCTTCCTAATCTTGAGTCTCCCCTTGGACACACAGGATGAGGCAGGCCCAACTCCTGCCACTACCTCAGGGGCAAAGGTGGGGACAAGATGTGACTACCCGGGGCCCCGGTGGCAGCTCAGAATCCCAGGGACGTGGTCAGATGCTGTATCAGGAAGCCAGAGGGCTGGAGCCAAAGACCCTGGCACTCTGTTCTCCTGTACGATGCGAGGTGGCCCACGTGCAAGGCCTCGACGGAGGCTCTCTTCCCAGAGACACTGCGTCCCAGGATGCTGCCTCTCACTATCCCACACCAGCTGCCGAACCCCCGGGAGACTGCTTCCTGGCCCGAGCCCCTAAGGTTCTTCAGAAAAAAGAATGTAAGTCAAAAACATGATTTGTTTTCAGGTTACAAGTAACATGTCAGCTGAGCATCACACCGTCCCCCGCCCCCAGCCGCTGGTGTGTCCGATAGACGGGGGTGCTGGGTGGGAGCCCCGCCGCGTCCGGGCCCGGGGGGCCTACTGCCTGCAGTTGTTGTCCGACAGCTGGCTGGGGGTCCGCACCTCACCCAGGGCGGCTGTGCCCTCGAAGCGCTGTGAGGCGATGGCTGCCTGGTGGGACATGCTCTTCCGTACGATGTCACCCTTCCGCCACAACACCACTTCCTGCAAAATTGGGAGAGCGGCAACATGACACATGAGAGGAAGGCAGGGGATGGGTTTCCCAGAGGCTCCAACTTTCTCCTGGGGACGCTCAGGCAACATCCCTCTCTGCTTATCTCTCAGCAAAGACAGCAGCTATCCACACTCTCCGTCCCAGAGCTCTTCTGGACGTTCTGGGCTTGGAAGGGCAGAGCGGCTGCTGGGGCTGGGCCCAGGAAAGCAGACGAGGTATCCAGCGGGAACCCCCATTCTTGCTGCAGGACGCTAGGTAGCCCACGGTTTCCACCTCTTATGGCGTGGAACCTAACAATGGCGTGGAGATGACCACCGTGCTGTTTCACCTGTCGGAAGCAGAGCCTGACCTTTGCAGGGACGATCCCCTTCCTGCTCTGTCCCTACGGCCCCCGGGGGTCTGGAGGAGGTGCCCAGGCCTCACCTGCTGTTTGAAGTAGCGCCGTTCCTCCTCGTCTATCAGCACCAGGTTGAGATAATAGCGCACGGAGAACTTCTTGTTGATGTCCCGCATGGTGGGGGTGAGCTCGTAGCCCGCCAGGAAGAGCCGGATTGGGATGGACTCCCCTGTAAGGGCCAGGCGGGAATGAGAGCGAAGGACAAAGCAACCGCTTGGCCTCCCGCCAAGGCATCCGACCACAGTAGGGAGCCTGGGCACGGCCTGGGCCACCTTGGACAAGGCTGCCTCTGCCTGCTGAGCAGCTGTCTGTGGCTGCCCAGGGACTTGCTGAAGCAAAAACGTGACTTTGCCACCCCACTCCTGGTCCTGCTGGGTCTGGTGAATGCCCCCCCACCAGGCCCACACAGAGGCCAGCGGGGGCCATGCAGATGAACAGCACAGGGATATTACTGTCAAACGTCTTGGCATCACATGTTACGTGTCTAGTGGTTGGGTTTTGAAGAGCCAATTGTCAAACCTCAGCAAACTCATGTCACCTGGCCATTTTGACACTGCCTCCTTCCGTCCTAATTAGTTAGGCATGCCCTCCAAAATACATCTCTACTCTAAGGTGGATTGGCAGAATGGTATAGTGGTCTTGGAAACAGAAAATCCCCATTCTGGTCCCAGTTCCTCATTAACCAGTAAGTCTGTTGCTTTCCCTGGACCTTACTTCTCTCGCGTGGAAAATTATGGAAGCAGGCTACCTAATGTTTTAGATCCCCACCGGTTCTAACATCATGCCTTTCGTAGTATAAGTGGAAGAAAATTAGGGCAGTAATTCCACTGGGAAAGGCCAAACCTATAATGCAGTCTAGAGCTAAATGTAAGTGATCTTCTAATTATCTGCTGTTTGCATTGTTTCTCACTGCCCCATTTCATTTGTACAGGGAAGGTGGCAATTGGCTCTATTTGCACAGCTGGTAAAAAAAATGGAACACACAGAGAGTCTGGAGAGCTCAGTCCTGTCCCCCAAGGACCTGGCATGGTGATACTCAAGGATACGGTGTCACTGTCCCCAGCGCTCGGGGCTGCTAAGTCTATGACACCCTCCTTCTGCACACAACAGCCTGTGGAAATGCACTGAATAAAACCTTGGCACCGCCAGGCACTTCTCCATGAAAAACTACAGAGCCAGTGAAGAGCCTAAATGATGACTACTCCCAAACAGGCACACGGGTTCCCAAGCAAAGTGCTCACCTCCACCCCCCCCCACTGCTAGTGTGAGCTCCGTGGGGGTGGGGGGACCAGTTTCAGCCCAGTTCCCAGGGCCGTCTGTGGTCCCTGGTGATGCTGGCCAGAGTATTTATACTTGGTGAAGGAATGCAGAAAATTAATCCCTCTACCACAGCTAGAACTAAGTAACAAAAATGACTATTCTGTCCTAATCCCTTGGCCCCTAGCAGCAAAGAACATCAGAATGTCAACAGGCAAAAGTAACAAAATGTTCAAATCAGTTTGCTAAATAACTTTTTTGTTTTAAACAGGCATAAGTCTTGAGATTCAATCTCCAGTAGCAGCTCACTGTATAAACGAGGTGGAGGTGGAGCACCTCTAGGTGAAGGCGGGTAGGCGCCTAGAGTTTTGCAGACTCAGGAGTTTCTCTGCTTATTGAGACCCCAAGTGTACAGCCAGAGATTAAGAAAGTACAGGTACTAGAAATCTTACTTTAACAGTACAATCCCTCAGGCCCCTCCAAAGTTCCGTGCAGGGGCTGGGAGAAAAGGGGTGGTGGCGGGGGCCACGGGGCTCACCTCTCACGGGCGCTCCATCCATGATCTCGTACTTGGCTATCGTGTCATTCTCGTGGTACACGTTGGGGCCTGTGCCTGTTGTTTCCCGCTTGATGATGTCTATCTCCATGTGCTTGATTTTGATTCTCACCAGCAGGAAGTATATCTTCCCCACAATGACATCTTTCAAGTGGTACCTGGAGAAGAGAAAGCGAAAGAAGTAAGGTGTGAGTACAGCAGCCAACCCGTTGTACATCTGTGGCCTTTCTGGCCTACCCCCGCATGTTGGCGGCGGGTGGCCTGGCTGTGCACACTAGCCCCCATTCCCACCCACACTGCCACTGCCGCTGAATTTCCCAACATGGTCTTTTTTTTTTTTTTTTAATCCTCACCCGAAGACATGCCCATTGATATAGAGAGAGGGAAATGGGGAGAGAGAGAGGGAGAGAAGCACTGATCAGTTGTCTCTCATGCACCCCAACTGGAGACCTCAAACCCGCACCCTAGGTACGAGACTGAATCCATGACCTTTTGGTTTACAAGACAACATTTTAACCAACTGAGCCATACCGGCCAGGGCCCAATATGTTCTTTATCTGAACCTCAGTGACTTCTGTCCCTTCCATTCTTCCATATACAACTCAAAGGACGACCCTCCTGCATGTCACGTCACCCGTTCATGCTTGCTCGTCTGATCTATCTGCTCAGTGCTGTAACATCTTTTATACGTTTTGCATTTGTGTACATGTGTGTTTTTCAGGTATCCTAATGTGTGAGAGGCCACTCCCACGGGTGCAGAAGGCCGGTCTTGCTCTTCCTCTCTAAGCCTCATGGCTGCAGCAAACAGGTCTGTGTGCTGTGGACCAGGGACAGCAGGGCAAGATGCACACGCCATGTCCCAGCCACACCTTCTCTGCAGGCCCTGCTCACAAGGATCGTGCTCTGGGAGCTGTCAGGAACCAGCCACATTGCATAGGGCCCTTCCCTGGGTCGGGTGTACGCACAGCCCTACCTCAAGCGTGGCGGGCATAAAGGGAAATCCCCAAACCTGTCCTTCAGAATCACCGGATGTGAGCGTTGGCAGGGACTTTAGAATTTAACTTTCTCATATGACAGGTAAAGAAAAGGAAGTTCAAAGAAGGGAATTAATTTAACCAGGATCTGCGTGGGGCCAGGCACAGGACATGAACCCAAGTTCCTTATGCCTAAGCTCACGTTCTCTCCATTATTTCATGCCACCCTGAGGCGGAGGATCTAACTGGGAAGACCGCAGACACTCTAAGAGAGAACTAAGAACATTTACAAAAGCAGAATGTAGGCCACTCAGCATTCTGGAAATAGATTCTAAGGGGTTTCCAACACTCCTGAACTGAAAGTTCCTTTATTCCAAACAAAACCTCACGCAGGAGCATCAATATGTGAGAAACAGGAAAGCTGCTCTGGGGAGGGCTCAGGGCCCTGGCTCCTGGCGCCGCTTTCACTTTGTCCCTTTGGTGCGCGCGCACATGCGTGTGTGTGTGTGTGTGTGTGTGTGTGAGAGAGAGAGAGAGAGAGAGAGAGAGAGAGAGAGCGCGAGCACACGCACGCGCGAGAGACCCACTAACCTATCTGAGAGAGAGAGAGAGAGAGAGAGAGAGAGAGAGCGCGCGCGAGCACGCGCACGCGCGAGAGACCCACTAACCTATCCAAGCCCCTCATTTTTCAGGAACCAAAGGCACAACAATTTTAGTACCTGCTAACCTAGCCTGAGAACAGTGGCAGACAGAACCTGACTGCAGGTGCTGGGTTCTTCGTGTCACATCCTGCAGACCACGCGCCCCCACACAGTGTGGCCTACTGGGAGCGCAGGGTCAGGCCTTGCCGGAGTCTGTCCTGACGTCACGTGACTCGGCTCTCAGTGCCTCTCACACACAGAATTAGATCCTGAGCACACTGCTGGCTGACGGCTATGCTGAGCTCCCACAAGGTGGTACTCTCTGCCAGCCACCCACTTTGTCAGGTGGCTGGGACATGGGTAGCCATGCACTTTGGTGGCCCCTTGTCAGGAAGGCCCACAGAGCCCTGAAGCTGAGGACAACGGGGAAAAAGCCTGTTCCTTTACATGTCTCTGCCAGCCTTCGAGCACCCATCCTTCCACATCACCCTGCACACTCCATAAATGGCCACGCGCGGAGTCACAGTGATCATTCCACTGACGCCCCACTTGGTCCCAGGCCAGGGAGCAGGGGAAAGAAATACAGCTCTTCCTCACCCCTGTTCTAAGGAGCACGAGTCCTTGGTGTTAAACCCCCTGTTCCGAGGCCCTTCGCAGGACAGCCATCTGCCTCCGCCCCCTCCACCTCGAGCCTCTGGGTCCCAGTGGGTCTCTGGTAAGGGTCTCTCTGCAGAGAATACACTTTGGCTTTTGCACATCTGATTTTCAAATATTTTCAAGAATGTATTATCCTGAAAAGAAAGATGCTGTGGTACATTTTTGAACTGTATATGTTGTGATTTATAAGCTTTTAAATATGTATTTTTAGGTTCTAACAGCAAACACAGTTTAAGACATATATGGCTTCCCAACTTGGCAGTTAAAATTATTTAAAGACCTTTTTGAAAAGCCATCAGGTGTTCTTTGCTACAATTCATTTTAGTTCAGAGAGGAAGCAGCAAACTGTGGCCGGGGTTTGGCTTCTTCACTTTGCCTTCTAAAGACACAGTGTGTACACAGGAGACAGATGACAACGGAGGGGGGTTTGAGAAGATTCTCAGCAGCAGAAGGAAAGAGCTGTACCTGGAATCCAAGACAAACAGCCTTAAAGCTAGTTTCACTTGACTTGGGAAGAGATCATAGGATGTTTAACATAAATGTACCTTAATTTAATAGAGTTTAGTTTAAGTCAAATGAGGTTTTATCTCCTGGGCAGCCTACCTTTAGCCAGTCTGGCGCAGCTGTTCCATGTTTCACCTCCGTGGCCTCTCCCGCAGCACGGGACTGCCAGCTCGCTGCGTCCGGGCATGTCCCTCACTGGGCGTTCGGGTCAGGCCCTATCCTGACCACCTCGCCCCCCCACCCCCCTCCCTCACCCCCCAACAGTTCCTCCACAAGCTGGTGCCCGGGCACTTACTTGGATTTGTTGTACTCAAACTCAATGTGCAGACAGTCCTCGATCCCGACCTCCATCTTGATGGAAGAGTTCAGCTCTGGGTACGTGCTGAGGGTGTGAACCACAATGTCCATCTCTTTTACTACATCGTTGAGGCGGCGGCTGATGGTGGCTCGAAGGAAATACCTGGGGAATATAGATGTGCCATGAAGGGATGCGCCTTGCCTCCAGGTGGTACTTAGGTTAAGGCACTGAATCAACACTCTTGAGAGGACCCCTTACAGCAGTTAGCCTTTGTGGCTGGGTATACCTTTAAGAATTGACCCCTGTGGACCCTCCTCCCAGAAAAAAAATGCACAGATGCGCTTATACACAACATTATGCAGTCACAATTCTGGGGAGTTCAAAGACCCTTCCCCTCAATCCCTTTTTGAGCAGCATGTTATTCCTGTGCCTTGCATGGCCTTCACCACTATCTACCATGTACTGGTGTGTGTTTGAGTTAGTTTTATTTCTTCAACTACCTTCCAGCTCTTTGGGCACAGGAATCCATCTCATACTCACATATTTGCATGCCCGTTCATTTAACAATATTCAATCAAGAAGCATTTCTCAAGTCCCTGACAGCTAAAAGAGAGGAATAAGGAATGGAGAAACTAAGCTACTCAATCAGCAAACGTTCACTGCTAGCTAGGCACAGGATGAATAAAAGATACCATCTCATGGGAGCTCACACACCACTGGGGGAGATGGGCAAATAAACAGAAAAAATAGAACACCTGCAAAGTGCTGATCTGGATACAGTAATCATGTACTGGGAGAGAGAAAAGGGCACTTGGGAGTGCAAACCGTGCAGCAACAGAGGTGGGAGGGAACCTGGTGTATTCAAACAAGAAAATCCCTGGCTGAACTAGGATCCTTGGGGAAGGGGGTCGATGCACGGGCAAGCAAGAAAGCATGCCAAGCCTGACCTTATGGCCAGCCACTGTACTGTGGCCTTCCCCAGCATGTCTGTCCCCTTGGCTTAAGTCTATGCTAATACCCACGGAAGGAGGAAACACCCCTTAAATTATATTTTCTTCTAAATAAAACTTAGATAATCCCCACTGTCATTCAAGCACTCTTGGATAAAATTGCTCACCAGCTCCACTGCATTAGGCTACTCTCTTCTGTGTGGCACTAACTGCTTCTGGGCAGTCTTTTTATTCGCCTCAGTGCCTCAGTGACTTCCGTTGCACTCCCCAAGACATTTGTTCCTAACTCTTTTCTAATAGCTCGGGCTCCCAAGCTTCCCCTCCCCCTCTCAGCGGAAGACATTGCTTTTACTCTTCTAAGAAGATGAAGGCCTTCCAAGTCAAGACTTATAATTCTCTCCCTTCTCTGCTTTGTGCTTTCTCACTTAGGGCTTAAATATGCGTGTCTCTATCTGCCCATCCTTCCTCCTTCGAAGAGCACCTGTCTCTCAGGACCTCTTCGCCTCCTCCCTCTGGCACAATGACTCCCCACCGGGACGCACAGCAGAATCACCTGGGGGAGGGGCTTTAAAAATCCTGATGCCCAGGCGCACCTGACATTTAATTGCTCTGGAAAGAGACAGAAACATCAACATTTTTTAAAGCTGCCCAAGTGATTCTAATGTGGGAGCCTTGTCTGGCATCTTAATCCTTCGACCCTTCCAATTTTCTGAACATATCCAGTCTCTCTCCACAGCTAAAGGCTTCGCCCTTGGAGTTTAAAAAGCCCCCAAATCACTAATCCCCAAAACACTCCCCGGGCCTTACACTCTTGACCATCCTTCGGAGGCAGCTGTCACAGGGAGACGCAGTTCTAACCACTGCAGCGTCTTCCACAGTAGCCTCGGGCTTCGCCACCCAACAGAAACTGCCATCCCCAATTTAACAGCCAGCCCCTCTATTGCCAAATCCAGCGGCATTTTTTTCAGCACCGGATCTACATTAGTGTGTAAAACACTTCCTCCTCCTTGAAATGCTCTTCCCCTTGTTCAGCAGGAGGCAGGACCCTGCTCCACCTCCTGCTATGCCCAGCCCCAGGAGGTCCTGACTCTCCTCCCAGAAAAGCGCATCAGTGATCACCTCTGAGCAGAGGATTTCGACCAGTGGGTCCCTGAGCACCAGGTTTGCATTTCCGATTACCTCGTCAACTTTTACACCTCTCTTCTGCCAGGGCTCCAAACTCTAAAAACTGGACAAATCATCCTATCTACAAACCTCTCTTCCTCCTGACAGCCCTGTAAATTCTGGTGAGGCCTGTTAAATTCCTGGCTTTCTTCCTGTTCCCATCGTGTCCACGAAAGCCAAACTCTTAGAACCTCATACGAGCCTTCTAATAGTCTTGTTTCCACACTCTACCTACCTATCAAATACCACATATTGACTTTAAAGTCTTCCAAAAGAACCACTCCCCTGCCTATGGAAAAAAAAAGGGGGGGGGCCCAAAACAATCTTTTCAAATCTGCTTCCCCACCTCTGCCTACGTAATAACATACATAATCTGGAATTTACATCTCAAACTGCCCTTAATCTGGAATTCACATCTCTAAACTGCCCTTAGCTAATTTTCTCATCTTTACTGCTCTCTCTCTCTCAAAAGATTTTATTATTTATTTATTTATTTTTAGAGAGAAGGGAAGGAGAGAGGGAGAGAAACATCAACGTGTGATTGCCCCTCGTATGCCCCCTACTGGAGACCTGGCCCGCAACCCAGGCATGCGCCCTAGATTGGGAATTGAACCAACAACTCTTTGGTTCATAGGCTGGCACTCAATCCACTGAGCCATACCAGCTAGGACTGCTTCCTCTCTTTCTTAAAGCAAATCCTGAAGTGTTTATCTAATTTGTACAACAACACTGTCCTTTATTTATTTTTTATTGTGGTAAAATGTAGAAGGGGTTCAGAGTATGCCAGCCCCAAATAAGTCACTCTGGCATAAGGCTTATATGGAACTAAAAGGAACTGAGAAGCAGCAGACACAAGGAAACCTCTGCCCTTCCCCCTTTCCCAGGACGGCAGGTCGTTCTCCATCACCCGTGACATCTCTAGACTCTTATCAGCCCAGAGACTGCACCAGAGGAATCCACGTGACCGGCCTTGCTAATACAACCTGTACCGTCCATGTTTCCCACATATGTTTACCTCCCACACTTGGTTGCCCAAGAAGCTTAAAATTGCTTCTCTTTGTTTTGTCACTTCTATTGAACATATATTTTTTCCTGGGAACTGCTCACGTAAGCCCAAGTTCTAACCACTCCTTTGAGTTACTTATCACTGAGTTGCTCAGGCATGCGCAATGCACGTGTGAATGCATGTGTTTGTTCTCCTCCTGCTAATCTGCCTTTTGTCAGTCTGGTTTGCAGGGCCCGGCCAATGGGCCTAAGATGGGTAGGAGAAGAAGTTTCTTCTTCCTCTACAATATACATAACGTAAGATTTACCATTTTAACCAATATTAAGTGTACAGTTCGGTGGCATTAAGTGCATTCACACTGTTGTGCAAACATCACTATCATCCACCTCCAGAACTTTTCAGCTTCCCCAATTGAAACTCTGTCCCCACTAAACGCTCTCCCCGCAGCCCCTGGCACCCATCACTCTTCTTTCTGTCTCTGTGATTCTGATGCCTCTAAGTGCCTCCTAAGATTGAAACCATTCAGTATTTGTCTTCTTATGACTAGCTTATTTCCCTTAGCATAACGTTTTTAAGATTCATCCATATTGTAGCCTTTTCAAGGCTAAATACCATTCCATTGTATGTTTTGTTTTATCCACTTCTTGTTCACCCAGTCATCTGCTGGTGGACACTCAGGTGGCACCCACATTTTGGCTATTGCGAATACGCTGCAATGAATGTGGGTATACATGTATCTGTTTGAGTCACTGCTTACACTTCATTTGGATATGTACCCAAAAGTGGAACTGTTGATTATATGATAATTCTATTTTTAGTATTTTAAGAAATCACCATACTGTTTTCTCTTTCTGAGAAATCCACTGCAATGAATAAAGTTAAATAAAATAAATCCGATAGCAAAGATTAGGTGCTGCCTTCTCTGAATGCAATTACAAAATACTCTCTTTAGCTGGGGTATGTTTTTGCGAAGATTTAAAGAGGGGAGCCTACAACTTCTCTTCTGATAGAATTGGGGAAATGCGGGAGAAAGAAGGGAAAGAAGAATCTTGCTGTATTTGGGACACAGTGAGTAGGGTGGACCTAGAGAATATTATGCTAAGTAAAATAAGTCAGAAAAACAAATGACATATGATTTCACTTATATGTGGAATCTAAAAAGCAAACGAACAAAACAGAAACAGGCCCCTAAATACAGAGAGCAAACTGATGGTTGACAGATGGGACGGAGACTGGGCGATGGTGAAAAACAGGAAGGGGTTAAGAAGTACAAATTGTCAGTTATAAAAACATAATCTAGGATTACATTCAAGAGGCTAGAGGCTGCTCTGGATTTTTTTTTTTTTTTTTACCCCAGAGGCCCTAAAACCAGCCCTATCCTCAGAGTTTCTAAGACTGAAACAATAAAAGCCATCCCATGCACTTAAATTGTGTTGATTAATCTTTGAAGAACTCGTTCCACGGTTACATTTTCCTGTCTCGTCACCCCCCGGAGGGAGCCGGCAGGGCCAGAATTAGTATCAGGCCCCGGGCGCACCGTCCCAGGGAGAAGGCTGAGCGCCAGGGCCCGGGTCACACCGCGGCTGCGCGCACCTCTGGGTCGAGGGCCGGCGCCCTGAGGACGCCGACTGCTGACCTTTCAGGAATTTCTTCAATCAGTGGTTAAACACAGCAATTATTTAAAATTAAATTATATAAACTTACAATTATATGAATTATACTAAAAACAAAGGTAATACACACCCAAAACTCATTGCTTCCTAACTATTCCGCTTCGCGTACCAGTCTCCGCTCTCGCGGGAGTTTGTACTGCGTCTGCACGTGGCTGGCGGGACGCTCGGTGAAGGCGGTCACCAGACGTCTCTGCGCGCGGCTGCCGCGGGCTGTCGGCTCAGTAGCACCCAACGGGCCGCGGTGGGAATCTCTGCGCTCCGGAAATTAACAATCGCCACCACCCCAGGGGCTCGCCTCCCAGCGCCGGCTGCGGAACACCCCCCGGGCCCCCGCTCCCGCCTGCCCCTGCCCGGTATCCGTACAAAGAGCCCGGAGTGCGGGCGGCTGCAGGTCCGGGCCACGCGCGCAGCCTCCGGGCAAGGCGGCACGACTTACCGGAGCTTCACATTTTGCCCTGTGTAGGACTCGTAGGGCTTCTCCACGTGGGTGAATTCGAAGTCGAAAGCCTGAGACTGGGTAATCTCTCCAGGCCGGGCCAAGTCCTTCACCAGGGACACGAATTCGTGGTGGTTCCCGCGGTCGTAGTAGAGTTCTGGAGAGAGAGCGGCCGCCTTCGCGGTCAGACCCCGTGCACCGCGGCCCGGCCGGGGGCTCCAGGCTGAGGCCCCCGCCTCCTGAAAGACCTTCGCCCCACAGCCCCACAGACCCCGCTTGTCGAGGACTCCCTCTCTTTTCCTGACCAGCGTCCTCCCTGCACCCCGCCCCTTGCCACAAACCCTCTTCCCTTTTACAGAGAGCGCTCCCGTGGCACCGCGAGACCCCTGCACACTCCTGCTCGGGCTCCAAGCGGCACCTGGGGAGGGGCACGTCAGAGGAACCACTATCAAAAGCACCACATTTTAAAAAACACCGGATATTTAAATGCACGTTTTAAAAAAATACTTCTAACTTTTAAGGCATATTCATGGGTATTTAATCTTACCATCCTTATAAAAACCTTGTGGGATAGCTAAGGCAGGCCTTATCCCCAACATAAAAGATGAGGAAACTGAGGCTCGGCATGGCTAAAAAACTGGCCTGCAGTCGCAGAGGTGGCTGCAGAGCTGAGGCTGGAGAAGGTCTCCCTCCGGACCGCGTCTGTTTCTGTGACCCAGTAAAACGGGCGTAAACACAACCCACTTCATAAGGTTTTGTGAGAACTAAAGGAGCCAGTGAAGGCACAGGACTTAGAACAGTACCTCATGGCTGTCAGCTGCTACTACCCACCAAAAAGGAATTCGTGTGGCTAATCTGACATAGACATGTTCATGCTATTACCTCCACCTAACCCAGTGGCCACCTAACAGTGGCCCGCAAACCTCAGTGTGCATGGATGGGAAGCTCCCGGAGGGCTTCTGAAAACAGAGATTGCTGCTCCGTGCCCCCCACCCCCACCCCAGTGCCTGATACCGGGGGTGGGGAAAGGGGGCTGAGAATTTATAGTTCTTTGTTTTTAAATTTTTATTAATTTTTAGAGAGAAAGGAAAGTGAGAGACACACACACACACACACATCAATTTTAGCTGTTCCACTTATTCATGCTTTCACTGGTTGGTATCTTCTGTGTGCCCTGGCCAGGGATGGAGCCTGCAAATTTGGCACATTGAGATACACTAACCAACTGAGCTACCCAGCCAGGGCCAAGAATCTATATTTTTTAACAAGGTCCCAGGGAATGCTGATCCTGCTGGTCCAGGGACCACACTTTGAGAAGAGTTTTGGTATATTTCTTTATTATAAGTTCATGCCACCCATTCATCCTATATTACTTTATGCCTTTTTGTACTCTGCTATTCAAGTATTAACTTCTGCTATACGCACGGTCATTAAAGGTAAGGCCTATATGCCCAGATTCCTGGCACCCTCCCCAACACACCCTGACTGCACAGTGGACACTTAATACTGACTGACTATATGGGGTCATAGTACAGCTCAGGTCGGCCCCTTGGGCATTCCTGGGCTCCAGTCCTATGCTAGGCTGCACCCTAAAGTAGGATAGACCAAACGGGAAAATGAAGCAGGGAGGTGCACGTGCCACTCCTACTGTTGGCTGCTTGGGGATAAAGAGACAGGCCGGCAGAGGGAAGTGTCTGGGACAACCGCCCACGGACCTGGTCTTGGATCTGCAGGCACAGCAGCCTCTCTCGGGTACCTAAGCGCCAGGGGACGAGGAGCAGAGATGCATTTGCTCTGGCTGCACGCTGGGCAGCACGAAGTCTGAGCCCCAGTCAGGATCGGAGCCATTCTGGGCCAGCGCAGTGTCCAGCTTGCCCCCCGGGAGAATCATGCCCAGAATGGGAAAGCGGTTTCAAGCGGTGCATTCAGTCTGAATGCGAACTCTACATTGCTGCCCTAGGGGCGGGGCCTGCCAAACCCATTCCATGGGGAGCTGCTTTCCCCCAGGCAAGGAGGCATTCTAAAGCGGAGAGGGCTCTGTCCTGAAGATGTATCCAACTCATTACGGAGGCAGTAGTATGGCTGATCCCAAGCTAGTGCTGCTAAATCTGTACGAATTTACATTACGTCCTGTGATTACAGTTGTTGCTGATTTCCTATGTAGTTACCGTTTAATCCATCTTCTATTACAAACAATCCGTGTTCTCTTCCCAACACTTAATGGAACCTGCAGTGGGCAGCATTCTGGGCAGTGAGTGATAACCCACGCACCGCTAAATGGGGGAAAAGGTGAGCAACCAATGCTAGTTTTAAAATCCTGCCACTGTGCCCCTCCGTAAAATGGTGTGCGGTGACTGGGCAGAGGCAGAGTCACTGGCCAGCTCATATCAAGGGCTCCTCCACTTACTCTTGCTGGTCCACTGCTACTCGAGCCCCTGTCGATGGCCCTGGCCCTCAGCTGGGCCCTGACTCCTCAGCTGGGCCACCTGGTGCACCTCAATTCCCAAGCACTGGATTCTGGCCATAGTTTCAGGGGACAAAAGCAGGCAGAGCAAGGCTCCAACATCCATGATCTTTAAGGAGGAAATCCCAGATCAAGACCAAGACGGGGAAAAAAGGGATGGAAAATTACACAAATGTGATTACACAGCCCAAAGGCAACGAGAGAAACAAAGCAGAGGACCTGAGAGCGCTCAGAGAGCAGTCGGGCTGCCAGCGTCCAGGATCCTAGCAACCGTCCGCCTGACCCAGCAGCGGGACCTGGCGTGGCCAGGACCTCTGGCAGAAGAGGTCCTTCCCAGCAAAGCATCACGTTCTCCTTCACGCTTTTTTCCTGGACACGCAGGAATACAAGCTCTTACACCAAACGTCATGGATGAAGGATCAGTGTGTAGTCTGAGTGGGGCTGGACTTGGATTTTTCATTTGTGACTTCTAGGCCATTTGCAATACTTTTGCAAACACTGCAAGGCAAAAGGGGCAGAAGTAGCAGCCATATTGTGTTATTTGCCAGAAAGTTTGGTTTCCTCTCACACAAATTAAATAAAAAAATCCAAGGCTGTTCCAGTGAGAGGTTTGGATCCTAAAGAGACAGCCAACTGCCTCTACTCTGTCCCAAAGATGCAGGCACAAGTCCTGCCTTGTTCTTCTGGACCCCGACAGCCCTCAGGGACCAATCCTTTCAAGTTAAAAGTCAGACTGACCAAGTTTTTTTGTTAAGGTAACTTCCCTGTCTTTAGCCTCCTACACTCAGTCCCACAGGAGGAAATGAGTTTTGTAGTAAGGATGCTTTCATGATGAAACTTGCCACCAACGGCTGAGGAGTGAATCTGCCACTTTGGAAGGAAATTGAGCTAGCTGGGCAGCACAGGGTCATCCCCTGAGAGATGCCTTGAGACTTCCAGTGGGGCAAGGACCACGTTTGGCCCAGGATCCATGGTGGTCTTGGAAGAAACTAAGTTAGCAACAGCAGAAAGACCTCCAAGAGCCTCCTCTTCACCCCGATTTTCTCAGCCTCTGTTTGCCCTCTGGCAATCAAGTTAAGATTCGTGCTGGTCACATCCGCTCTGACCCCTGGGACCCTAGTCAATCCGTAGGGACAGTCATCCCCGAGCTGCCCAGAACCAGCCAGGTGCAGCTCTGCTCCAAGCCCTGCAACGACTTATTAATAGACTAGAATCAATCCATTTAATCTCAATGGTCCTTTTACTTGGCATTTCATAGGTGAATGAATTAAAATACTGAAAGCCTCTGGAGTTTTTAGAAGTATAGGTTTGATCAGGGCTGATGAGTTCAGATACATCCAGTGCCATCACTATTAAAAACTTGGGGGAAAAAAATCAGATATTATCTATCTGGCTTTTGGAGGGTGTTCCTGTCTGCCATCCTCTGCAAGTTTGACCTTCTAATTACCTTTGGTTTATTTAACCCCATTAGTTGCCATGGTGGCCCAGCTCTGCCTTCCACACGCCATCAGTGCTCCCCAAGTGATTCCAGCTGAAACATGGAGAGGGCGACAGAACTCCCTCAATGCTCCTTACATACAGGTTGCATTGTTCTTAAAATGTCCATTAGCTGCTGGCGTGACGCGGGAGGTGCCCTCACCACACCTTTGTTGGCACTGATAGCAAAACTATGCAAGGTGCAGGAAGAATCCCAGTGCAGCTCAACAGCTTACTGATAACAGAAAAACATATGTGACACAATAAATAAATACTTATCATACTCCCGAGGGGCAACATTCAAATGGCAACATCTGAGCAGTCAGTGCAGAACTGTACGGACCGTAGCTCTGACAATGCTTATTTTCTTATTTGCAGGGGAAAATCAGCCTCACCTTGGCAGAAGAAGCTGTGACGGAAGAAAGATGCAAAAGGGAACTGACATCCGGCTTCAACATTTCCCTACCTTGGTTCCCTCAGGGACAGTGCTGCCCACGTGGGTGTAGGCCTGCCGGCGAGTCACCTTAGCTCCCTGGAGTGAGGCCTGGAGTGAGGGGGGCACCTCGCTCATCAATGCCTCCGCCCCAGGCGCGAACAGGAAGCCCAGCCTCCTAACAGTGCCAGCGAAGCCAACCTGCACACTCTCCCTTTCTTTCATTAAACTTAACTCTGGTTTATCTAGCAGGAGATGAGAAAAACAGTCCAGAGAATTGCTTCTGTAAATTCTTAGCTCTGACCAGTGTCTCCAGTTAGCAAATATTTCTTGAACACTTCCTACATACCAGCCACTGAGACGAGAGATTAGCCACCAGACTGAGGAGGGACTGAAGGCTCAGAATTTAGTGAGAGACGGACAAATTAAAATAAATAAGTAAATACCAGGCTTGTCATATCCTGCTTGAAAAGAGGTACCCAGGAGGCCTCTAGAAGAACAGTGGAAGAAGTGCTGAGGTCAGTCTGGAGAGGTCAGGGAAGGCTATCTGATGGATGGCATGTGGCTGGGCTTGAAGAGTAAGAGCTTGGGTGGAAGGTCAGGACTCACAGAAAGACATTCACATACAAAAGGAACATTCCAACATTCTAGAAAGAGCATGAGACTTTGAAGAAACTACGGGTGATGAGGGTGAAGGATCAGGGAGGGATGAGACTGGAGGGAAGGGCAGGGGCCAGCTCAGGAAAGAGGTGGAGGTATTTCCCCCCTTTAACCAGCAGGGAACCGAGGAGAAGAATTTTAAGGAGGGGCCTGACAATTGTAGAACTCCCCTTTAAACAGGTCACTCTTACGGAAGGTGAACCGAGAGAAAACAAAGGCAGGAAAACCAGTTAGGAGACTGCTTGCTACAAATAGCAATAAGGAATGCGTTAAGAATGGAGAGGAAGCGTAGATTTAAGACACATTCGGGTTGCTGGAGAAGACCAAAGCTTAGAAGACGACTAGATGTGTGGGAGGAGGAACAAAGAATCTAAGATGACTCCCACATTTCTGAGGCTAGATGGACCCAGGTGACAGAAGCCAAAGTGGGAAAAATAAAACAAATCATAGGAGAAGCGGCAGGGCTGGGCTGGAACAGAAGGAGAAAGGGGTTTCTGCTTTGGATGAGTCTTGTAGGGGCCTGCGGGGTGGCGTCTCCAGGTGGAGATGTCTACCAGGCAGGGGAACGCAGGCATGGAACTCAAAAGAGTGTTCAGGTCAGAACAGAGAAAGAATCTGGGAATCATCAGAATATGAGAAGCTACTGAAGTCGAGGGTGCAGATGAGATTACTAGAGCAAGTTATGGAGTGAGAAAGGAACTAGGGACAAAAGTTACCCTCTTCCGGCCTACTTCCACACCATGATCAAGATAAGAGCTTTTCTGAGCAGGGCCTGGGTGCCTGTGAGAAATGGAGCACAAAGGGGTCCAAAGAGTTGTCTCTGCAAGTCCTTCCATACGGTTTACTTGGGCCCTTGTGCAGCCCAGAAGAAGCCACTGGGAAGGCTTTGTGGGCAGGCGGGCAGGCAGGCAAGCAGGCAGATGACAGGGGAGGCTAACCTGCTGCCAACATTCCCCATGGAGAGTCTGCACAGGCGTTAGGGGCGACTGCCAGTTGAAATGTTTTAAATGTCTAGCCCCATGGAAACTTCTTGATGGGTCCACCTTAACAGGGCAAAAGAAATGACAATGATTATCTTACCTCCCTTTTACTGAGGACCTACTATGTGTGCCACGCCCTGCACTTGACGTATGTTATCTCTAGTCCTTACGAACTCTTGACCCTAGCAAAGTCTGTATTATTATAAACTGGGCCTTATCTAATTTATGTAACCCAGTCTGCTTGACCCTGCATATACCAGGCTGCCCCTAATGAACACACAGATGGGACAAATACACTCATTAGGAGCAAAGACAAATCAGTCATAATGATAAACAGGTTAATTACATAAACCACTTCATTGTCAAGCTAAGGAACTAATTCTTCGGAGGGAGGGAGGAAGGAAGAAAGGAAAAGAGGAAGGAAGGGAGGGAGGGGAACAGGATGGAAGAGAGGGAGAAGAACCAAATCAAACTATAGTTTATAAGAAAAATTTTGAGTGAAAGTGGAAAATCAATGAGGAAGGTGGATGAAGAGATCACAAAGATCTCAATCATCCTTTCTGAACCCCCATCCTTTCTTACTATAGTATAGTAAGTCCCATACTATATGTCACAAATACAGCCAGATCGCGGAATCTGAAGTCCCACCCACTTCATACAAAGTCAGACTACAATGAAGGAGAAAACCACAAAACCACAACTTCAACAAAATCAGCCTCGCTCCAGTGCCCAGAGGTCAGTTCGCGCACAGTCTTAGGTATACCCAGATACACCACACTCTGCATCAAGCAAGATCCTTTGACATCTCAGCGTTCTCAGATGGCGATTTTGCTATCTGTGCCTTACAGGAAAGGAAGCAGCCCAGAAGGGCACAGCTTCCCCGGAGTCACCAGGTCCACACAGGCCAGAGAGCTCGGGGGCCCAGGAACAGTTATCAGTGGAAGCAATAAAAGGTTCTGAGAAAATTCAGCAGAGATGCTATTCTGGGATCCAAAGAGTTAGACAAGAAATCAGGCAGGGCAGGTACAACAAGCAGCCTCCTGAACTTGCTTTCATTTAGACTAGACTAGAAGAAGGAAGGTCTTGACGCCATTCCCCTGGAAAAGCTCATCTCACATAGCTGGGGCTGCAGACTTTCTGGTTATCTTTCACACACTGACGAGGTATCACCAGCAGGAACCATGGTACAGTCAAGACTAAACCTGCCTGTCCACACTGGCATTACAGAGCCAAAGAATCCATGCAACAGTGTTCAAACTGCTCCTTGAAAATACTAATGCTAAGTAGGCAAGGACTTCTCCACTATCTCATGTGTTACACTTAGCATAAAATGCTTAGTATTCATCTACTCAGTGGCTCTTCACTAGGGGGGATTTTACCCTCTAGGGTACATAAGGCAATATCTCAAGCCATTTTTGAGGTTATAACTGGGTGGTGCTTCTGGTACCGGATGAGTCAAAACTGGAGACACCGCAAACATTCTATACCAACAAAGAATTATTAGGCCCAAAATGTCAACTGTGTGCTGTTGAGAAACACTATGTAAGCTAGACAGGGGAGCAAAGGGTATGAAACTCACGCTTTAGACCATTTTGGGTACATGAAAAGGCCACTCACATCTTCATTTGAAATAACAACAAAATGGTTCCTGTAGGGTCAGCCAATCTTCAACCTGTTTTCCTTCGCTTAAATGCCAGAGGCAAATACTTCAGGCTGCGGACAGTCCGCAGAGACACGCAGGGACTCCCTTTCCCAGGGTTCCTCCTACCTGGGCCTACCTGTTTCTAGCCTTTGTAAAAGGGGGAAAACAGATTCTTTGCTGAACTCTGAGGCCGTGAGAGACCATTTAACAGACTTTCCCAAGAAGTTCTTCAAAACAGAGTTAAACATGCACCATGTGGTACAGGGTATGAACTCTCTGCCAGAGGTTTTTCAATGTACATGGATATTAACTGTGAATCTACCCCTGACCTGATGACAAAAACAATTTATTTCAGAAGTACCTCAGAGTTTTAATAACACAAGACTTCAAACAGTCTTAGAATTGGAGACAACTGCATCTTCTTCACTGGCAGCTTCCAAAATCTTCTGTATTGTTACTGCCTTTTACTGTCTAGTTCTAACTATCAATAATCATGCTTAAAGACTCTCGGGGCATTGAGAAGTTTGGATCATTTAATTTTAGTCTTAGGAGCATCATTTCTTTGTCTTTAAGGAAAAAATGAATCCACTGAAAATTAACACTAATAAAGAAGTCTTAGAAAATACAGGCTAGGTAGACAGGAACACTGGGTCTGAAGACTGCAGTCCAGAGATAAGGTAGGACAGGAGACGCTGGTGAGCCACCTCTCCCACATCACGTCTAAAAGAAACAAGGGGTGGGTCAGACCTACTAAGTGAGGCACCGACGACCATCTCGACTTGGGCCAAAGAAAGGCAAAAGCAGGGCTGGCAGAATAGTCTCTCCCTGACAAACCCACCTGCAGGCTAAGGCAGGAGCATCTCACTCCGAAATCCTGGCGACGGGAAGCCAAGCTCAGAGGCGTGTCGAAGGGACAATCGAGGCATTCCGGGGCCGAGCTACCCACCACGGAGGTGCACAGCAGGGACGCCCGCCCTGTGCCTTCGGCACCGCCGCCCTCACTGCGCGCAGTCCCTAGGGGCCGGTTAGACGGCACCGCAGGGGCGGCCTCCGGTGGGCTGGCCTCAGACAGTGGGGGACGGGGAGCTCCAACAGGCCTCACCGGAGCCGCCCGGGGTCCCCGCCCCGAGACCGCGCCTGGCCCGCGAGCGCGGCGCGGGAGGGAGGCACTGGACACCGACTCACCGATTTGCCCGATGAACTCGATCTTGATGCCCTGGTGTTCCAGACGTTTATTGGGATGCTTGAGTGCGAGGCTCACCTTCCCGGAGACCGTCTCTCCGTCGTAGAAGAGGAAATACTTCTCTTTCTTCCCGTCCTCCGTCTTGTGCTCGGCCCGCTTCCTACTCTCCGCATCGTTGAGCACGATCTCTACCTCCACGCTCTGCCCAAAGCCGAAGAAGCTCATCTCGCCGGCAGCCAGGCGCGCCGGGCTCTCCGGGGCTGAGCTGCCCTAAGGCAAGGCCAGCGGGCTGGACGTGCGACCAGGCGGGGGACGAGGCGCGACTGCCCGCTACGAGGGGAACACTGGGCAGGGCCGGCTGGGCGCCCAGAGCACAGATGCACCGCGGCCCGCCAGCCCCTAACGTGCGCGAGCAGCTGGAGACAGTGAGGGGCGGTGGCTGCGATGTAACTCTAACGGAGCGGTGCAGAGCCGAGCCTCCCGGTCGTTGCCGCCTACCCGGTGCCTTGCAGCGCGGAGTGGCGGAGCGAACCTGCCAGCCTTCCGCGGTGCGACACCCGGAGCTGCTCCAGCGGCTCCCGGCTGGGGGCGGGGAGGAGGAGGCTGGCGGCCTCCAGCCTGGACGCTCGGGAGATGTCGCGCGCATGCGCACGCCTCTGCTTCTGTAGCTGCTGCCACCAGGCCGCCGGAGGTGTGCTCACCGCGCATGTACAATGGGAGAAGGGCTGCTTGTCTTTCCCTTAGTTGACATGGTACCTACGGCCTCTTTCCAGAATTCGGGCCCACAACATCCTGTAAAATTAAGAGAACTGCAGATATCCTTTCGCAATGCTTTATTTTCCTGCTTTTCCTCTATTGTTTTTGTTCGATAAACGTTAGTGTACAATCCACATTTGGACATGCACAGCGTTTGAGTGCTATTTGACGGGGTAATGGTAGCCCTTTGACACATGACATGCCACTTGACAGGGGCGCAGAGATGTCTATTACAGGAAGTATCTTGTCTCAAGTTCTCTTTAAAGTGCCCTCCCACTGAAGAAAAACGAGGCAGAAAAGGAGCTATTAAAATTTAACTGATTTCTTAACCTCTTCTTTAAAGGGAAAAATAAAACACCGCGTCGTGGAACCTTGGCTTGATGTACAGTCCTAGGCCCGCCCCATTCTTTGCGCATGCGGTAGAAGACCCTGCTGATTGGTTAATATAATAAAGCCGACAGGGCGCGTTGATAGGTTCGTGGGAAATTCTGCATGTTGTGACTGGTCCGCAGGAACGACTCAGAGCGCGCGCGGGAGCGAGCTTTGAAAGTTGACCGCAGCGCAGGCGTGCGGGTTTCTGGGCGATCATGGTGGCGCTGCCGGACCTTGGGAGCGGCCTGCAGCCCTGGTGCCCGGTGGATCTCAGCCCAGGTGAGGGAGCGAGGCCTCGAGCCTCGGGGAGGCAGGGCTGTGGTGCTTTGCGCCTGTGCTGCTCTTCAGCCTAGGCCTGGGGTGCAGTGGGGGTGGGGCGTTTGGCTCTCTGAAAGGTCTGGGCCCTCAAGGTCTGCACTCCGGGACGTTGGCGAGCCGAGAATAGAATAGAGTTAGAAAAAGAGTTACGTTAAAAAAGAGTTTAAGTTGCCCGGTATCTTTTGGTTCTTTTGCATCTGTTTTCTCTGCTTTCCCCTTCCTGTTCTGCACATCTGCACGCTAGGACCACTTTTGAAAACACAAATGCGACTTGTCAGGTCTTTAAACCTTTAATATTTCCCCCTTTGTTTCCTAAACAAATGACCGAATCTCTAGCCTGCCATATAAAAACCTTCACTTTTCAGTGCAGTCTTTTCCAAGAGCATAAGCTTTGGAGTGAGAGATAACTGGTCTTACACTTTGCTTAGCATCCAGCGGCTTAACCTTACTAAGCCTTGGTTTCCTTATCTGTCAAATAGGGATATAGTATCTACCTCACATAAGATTTTGTGAAGATTAATTTGGTACCTGGTACTGCTGAAAAATACTAATAATAACTCTGACCCTTCACATTTAATCTCTGTGCTGTAACTATTTCGTTCATTTCCAGTCAGGCTATACTTTCCCGTTGTGCTGTGTTATGCAGTTCTCTCTGCCTAGGACGCACTTTTCTGTTTTTCTTTCCCTGGTAAACTTGCATGTTTAGGTCTAAATAAAGAAGAGTCATCCGTTCCACCTCTTCCCTTCCACTTCTCCCAGAAGTATTTTCTGTTAGGCGTGCTCATGTTTTACATTTCTGTTATTGTTTTAACACACATCCCGTTGTAAAAATAGTACTAGCTATTGTTTATTGAATTTATCGATTTCCTGTCACCAAATCTTTTCTTTTCTCATTGGGACTTTGTAGTTGTAATCCAGAAATGAGATCAGAAATACTGGTGTGCAGTTATAAACATGTATTTAAAATATGTGTATAAAATAAATGGGAGAATGTCTGAGAAGAAAAGAGGCAGAAAAAGGTACAAGAACATTTTTAGGAAGATGACAGTAGTTGTTATGAGAATGACTAGGAAAGAGAGTGAGTGAAAAATTAACTAAAGCATGTTAAAACAGTCAATCCTGTGCAAAGATTTAAGCTGTACCGTCCTGTGTCTTGTCTTATGAATCACAAGACCCGCCATCATGAATCCGAGCCCTTTTTTGACATTCCTGAATTGAGAACCTTGACCTCTGGGTGCCTGAAAGGGGCTGGCCTTGGATAAACTGTGGTTCTGAGTGCACCTTCTTCTCTCCCTCCCCCTCCTGCCCCAGGGGTTGCCTGCTCTTCACAGGTGAGGGTGGCTGTGGGCAGGGTTGCTGGTCCGCTCTAGGTTTTACTCCTGGGATGAAGAGATGTGTTAAGAATCTCTCCTGCAGAGATCTGTGAAGGCAGCGTGAAGGAGCACCTGATTAATAACGCTGGAGAGGTCCGCCCGTTTCCATCTGGTCCTGAATTTAGGTTTTAGGGCATACTAGCAAAATATTAGGGAAGATACTTGGTAGAAACATGTGAGAAGGTTTAGAGTTAAGAGAGATTAGCAAGGAATTCAGCATGAATGCTGCATTAATATCACATTCTTTTCACATACATTCTTTCCATCAGCGTATTTTGAAATCACTGAGTGTTTCTGAGTGTGGATCTCGCATTCCTCCTCTGATTTAAACTTCTTAGGAAAATTGTATCTTTTCAAAAACATGATACATTATTCTCCAAGGGCCCAATATAGTATTTTATTTGGGCTTATTAACTAAGTTACAAAGTTTTTACAAAGGGATATCTGGGGCAGTTTTTGGATTAACCTCTTCCTTCTCCAGGTTGAATGTATAGGAAAGGCTGATCTTTGAGTGTTTTGAAGTGTCATTCTATGTAAAACTGTTCTGTGTAAAAAGTGTTTTCCTCCTTGATATTTTTAGAAGGTAACCAAACTAATAACCAGATGTCAGTTGTAATTTAAAAAAAAATGAAAGATTTTCTTAACCCTTTCTGCTTTCCCTGAATTATACTTAACCTGTATTATATGATTGAATGAATGTGAGTTGTGACTAATAAACTTTCCCCTTCTTGAATGTACCTAGAGTCTAAAAATGATTGGTTTTTTACTTGCTATAGAGCACTTACTGATTGAATTCCATTTCCCCACTAGAATGGGTGGACACAGTTTGGGAACTGGACTTCACAGAGACTGAACCTTTGGATCCCAACATAGAAGCAGATATTATAGAGACTGGATTGGATGCATTCACAAAACTCTATGAAAGTCTCTTCCACTTTGCTACCGAAGAACATGGATCTACAGAGGTAAAGAAAATAAAGCTAGCCATCTTTAGGTGTAGAAGTAGAATATGAAAGTTATTATTGTCTAAGGCTTAGTCCCTTCAGTGAACAATTCATAAGGAGTAAGAGGAAAGTAGCATGAAGAATGTGGGTCATTTTTCGGAATATCCTAATAGTTTTCCTCCAGAAGGTTCAAGATATTAATCTGGCCTTTTTTCCCAAGGGGTGACTTTTTTTTTTTTTTTTTAAACAGCAAATTAGAGGAAAAGAATAAAGGCCAAAACAAGGAAGAAAACCAGATTAAACCAAATATGAAAAGAACGCCAAGGGAAATGCAATAACAATTTCAGCATGCCTTAACTTTAAGAAAAATCTGGTATTATTAAAATGAAAAGTGGTTAAAGTCCTTTGGAATAGAGAGTTCCTTTAAATATTGAGTCCTACCTAGTGTGTTTATTAGTATTTAACTCATTGACTGCTTTTCAAAACCCTGAAGGACCAGGTACCAGAATGAAAAATACTTAGATACTAACATCTGAAAACTTTAAATTAAAAAATATTTCAGTTACAAATTTCACATCACTTTTCAAAAAGTAAATCATCTAGTTAAACATTAAGCCTAACGCTAAGTACTACTTTAAGTACCTTAGAAGATAAAATGATTAAGTTACAGAACCCCTCCCTACGTCAAGGACCGCCCCAGTGTGGGAAGGGAGAGAAGAAGGCACTGGCTCTCACAGCTCCTACTCCCATTTCCCAAAGCATGGCCCGAAGCCACGTTCAGCGGCCGGAGGGCAGAGCAGCACAGTGCCACCCTGAGTACCGGGGAAGAGCTGGAAATACTGGGTGAGCCGCATTGTAAAAACTGCTGTTAAGAGAGGTGTACTGCCATCCAACAGGGATGTGGAAGAGGGAGCAGGGTAAGATTGGGAAGGTTCCAGAAAGAAAGTCGCCAGAGGGGAGCCTTCACAAGTGGGTAGGGTGTCGACTAGCAGAAATCTCTCTGGGGGCATCCCTGGGAGAGGAACGACAGGGAATACGTAGGGAAGGCTGAGAGAATCGTGAGTAGTGTTGACTTGCAGGCAAATCTGCAAGATTAATCTGTGAAGTGCTACATCGACTGGGTGTAGCGAGTCAGAGAAAGGAAAATGTGAAAGATCGCCAAGGTCTCAGAGCCAGGAGGGCGATGCAGTTGTCCAAGGTGTGGGGAGTAATGGGGAAGGAGCAAGGTCAAGTGGAAACATGATGAGTTCAGTTTTAGGCTTTGAATGTGAGATTCGTTAAGAGATCTTTAGGGCCGTGTAATTAGTGGTTGGAAACATGAATCAGAAGACCAGGAGAGAAGATAAATTCAACAAAATAGATGAGAGAGTCCTTTGGCTCAAGATGTTTGAATCACAGAGATCAGTGAGGGAGAGGAGACGCAGGACAGAGCCAAGAACGCTGGTGGAAGGAGGCCTGAGGAGGACCACGTAGACGTGCGCGGAATTCCGACGTGGCGGCTGGGAAGTGGCCCAGGTGTCAAATGCCGCAGCGGTGACGGGCGGGTGCCGCCCTGAGGCGAGGCAGTGCGGGCAGAGGTGTTTAGACTGTCATCGGCAACTGCCGGGATACAGTCACAGGCGGTTCCGGGAGCGGAGGTGGTGTTAGGAATGAAGGTGGTGTTAGGAATGAAGACGTTGCCGCTCTAAGGCAGGAGAGGATTCTTTCCGAAGTTCATAGGAAAGGAGAGGAGGATGCGCAACGACTCCAAATGGCGCCTCCGGGGACGTGGCCTGTGCCAAGCGCGGCGCCGAAGCCGCGGCATCACCCGCCGCTTTCCCTGTCCTTGCAGGGCAACCGAGGTACATGGTCTGCCTCTGGAACTTTTGTGG